AAGTAGGTTGATCCGAGCTGATTTGACTGAGCTGCGGTCAAAGAGAGATTACATCACTCTGGACATAAAGCACGCTCGATGTAGCTCAACCGATATAATCTTGTGTGAGCGTAACTCAACCAAATCAGCTCGGATCAACCTACTTTAATCATGGAAATCAATGTCTAGAGCAGGAGCATCGTCCACCTACAATAGAATGCACAAAAGTTGGGAATGCACAAAAGTGGCTATTAGCTGCCAATGTATGTCATAAAAGTGAGGGTTGCGTACCTCTCATGCATTGTCCCTGAAGTCCTGACTTTTTAGCTGAGTTACCCAAAGAGGTCCTTCTGCATCTTTGGCTCTCCAGGGTCTAGCTACTTGGCAATGAACAAAGACCACTTTTCATATAGCATCACGCTTACAAACGTAAAGGTGCCTGTATCTCCGAACTTTACAATGAAACGTGGGGTTTTTATTGGAGCAATGTGCTCGGCTTGGCCAACTGCACCTTTGAAAGTTTCACGATCAAGCTTGCCAATCCCAGATTTCGCAATGTCGCCACCAGCCAAAGTGAAACGAGTCGACCTCTTGAAACTTTTTTTCGACGACCAAAAAAATATTTTTTGGGCTGTTTGCGACATTGAATGCGAAACTTGCACACAAAGTGCTGTTGGCCAAGCCGAGCACATTGCTCTAATAAAAACCCCACATTTCATTGTAAAGTTTGGAGATACAGGCGTCTTTATGTTTTACCTATGCTGTAAGCGTGATGGAGTTGCTTTTTCCTAGTGGATGATGTCGGCTGCATGAACGGAAAGATGAAGAGCTGAGTGAAACGGCACGTGGTGGTTACACAGACCACGTCCTTGACAGGTTGCTACACAAATGGATGATGATGATGATTGCCTTTTGCGAAGGTACGTAAGTAAACAGCATCCAATAATAACGGTGTGTCAAGGTATGCATCACATTTGCATGTAGAAGAAAGTCGAGCTGCATAAACCAATTTGTATATGTAAAAAGATACATATACATATTGAATGAGTCACTCATCCTGAAACTCAATGGAGGGATCTCTTCACTTTTTCTCTTCTCAAGCTCATCCCACTTCCCACTCCTCCTTATTGTATTACAAAAGCCATGTACTTCTTGCATGACCGATAACCGGACCACCTTTATTATTCCATCTTCGAAGCAATAGTATGTAATCCACAAGCTAGCAACCTCCAACAAGCGTGTAATAAATGAACAATGCTTTATTTCATCTAGCTATCTTGCTATGTACTGTACATTGCCACCACCATCGTCGTAGTCGTCCTCCGTCATCATTCCTACTCGTACTCGTCACCAGTCGTCAATCTCATCCGTCACCCAATATCAAGAACACGCAAGTTGAAAATAATGATTCCCAATCCTTCCAATCATTTTCCCACCTCATGAAAAGAAATCCTCAAGGGAAAGAACGAGCCTATCACGAGAATAGCGTGTTGGTTCAACACATTCACAAGCTGTTGCAAATCCCCTTTTACCTCAACACGGTGACCATGCTCTTCCAAAAACCCATCGTCATCGACCCATCAACTCAAACGCAGGCGTATAGAGCCCTGGATGCGTTCCAAGAAGATTTTCCAGCGCACTTGGCTAGTGCAGAGCGACGCAGCGGCCACTTGATACAGATTGGGACTTGAACCCAAAGAGATGATGATGATGCCCCAAGTTGCATTGCCTGACCAAAGAAACCTATACAATTCACTATTAGCACACACACAATAAACACCCTTTTCATTGTTTGTTTCATTGTACTTGCCTTTTCCATATACACAAAGACCCGTTGTTGTTGGTTACTGAGCCGAAACAAAACGCCAAACCAGCCAACGTCTTGAAACCAAACTTGCCCTCTATACAAGCGGACGCGTCAATGGAACCAATTCGGCTGCAACATTGGACTCTGAATGTACCTGTCGACACCAAGTGTAGAGCGGGAAGAGCAACGAGCAAAAGGAAGCAACAATATCGCCATGGCGACCACCAACCACCACCCACGCTCATTCCTCAGCACTTGGACACACTCACTCTCCCTGACAATGCATGTTCAGAACTACATTACCACCTCACAGCCAACAAGAGCACTCTTTGATAACACATTACCTTGAGGAATGCCGTGAATGGGATAAAAAAAGAGGAAGGAGAAAGAATAGAGAAGCGTTGTGTCTCAAGTCGTGGAGCCACCGTCCCCAAGTTTAAACCATCCTACTGCTATTACACTGAGGTCACTCAATTACCCTATACACACCATCCACCCATCGTCATCATCACGATAGACAATAGGTACACGTAAATAAAAGAAATGATCCTCACGTATAGCAAAAAGGTGTGTGCCATTTTACACTTTACATGATAATGATGATCCAACAACAGCCATTACCTTACTATCAGGTTAGCTCGAATCAAGAAAGTTCACTGATGGGAATGATGGGCTGGAGCAGGACAATCGTTCATATGCATTGGATTGAGCAACAAAGGTGAATGGGAGGAACGGGCTATTAGCTGGCAGTTTACAAATAACTTTGCAATATGATCTTTGTGAAATTGGATGATACTTCTGTGTTTGAGCGTTTTTCAGTCAAATCCTCTCGGATCAAGAAAGTTGAAGGATGGAAATGATGGGCTGGAGCAGGGCAATCGTTCACATGCATTGAATTGGGCAACAATGATGAATGGGATCAATGAGCTATTAGCTGGCGGTTCATGAAGTAATCGTTACATTGATTTTTCTGGTTTTGGATGATACTTCTTTGTTTGAGGAAAGTTGAAGGATGGGAATGATGGGCTGAATCATGACAATTGTTCTTTGTTCATATGCGGTGGGTTGTCATAGCCATTTTGGGCAATTCAATGTCCTCGTGTCAACCTTTCTTTTCTTCAATATGCAGCTTATCCCGGTCCACACTGTATCCCACCTTGATCTCGACACTGTTCACAATCCAACCATTCTTTGCACTGCACGCGTCGCATGTCGCCATGGCATCCCCAAGCTCTTTATTGCAGACGACTCCTCCAATATCAAAGCCTTTGCAGTTGCCAATGACAACAGTGGCATTTCTCAGGTCAGCACTAGCACAGCTTACGATCTTATCTTTACGATTGCTCACTCGACCTCCTCACCAAACCCACCCTAACAGCTAGGCGAATGGACATTGCCAACACCAACGGAACAGATTTACGTGTGCCAAACCGAGTGTTGTATGGTATTTGCACGAACACGCGATGGTGGCGTGTGGCGGATACGCGTGACCTGTGAGCCATACGAGTAAAGTGTCATTGATAGAGCAATCCATGTTATCCTTCTTGACTAATACCATCATGTAGACATGTTTCGAAGCGTCCAAGGATACAAGATTGTGAGCAAATATACAAGCATGTAAGGGATATAAGAGAGGGAGCATGATTCATGCATTAACATTGCTGGTTTGTATAGCACGATTATCTAGTACCGATACATTCATCTCCAACGGGATTATTCTACGGGTTGAATGCGGATGGAGCAATATGTCATTGCAAGCAATCGGATCTCGGGATGCCTTCGGTAGTGGGTATGCATAAAGCACGTTCATGTGTAACAACATCAATTCTTGGTAAGTTTGACATGGAGAAATTGGTCAAAGCTACTCTTCCTCACTGCGTAACAAATAGTTGATCCCACTCAGCTGTCAGAGCCATTCTTGATGCATCTTGGTTTACCAAAGTGAGTATGGCACCTTTCAATTGAACGCGAAAACTTACAAGGAAGTTTGCACAGAGATTGCCTTACATTGCTCTTTGGACATGAGAATGGTGACTTGACAGGCAGCACGGTACAAGGACAAGAGATCCAATTTGCAGCTTTACCTGTGAGTATATGGTGATACGTGCAAAATCCATCCATCTTAATGCTTTACCTTAGGAAGAACCCATTTCTGCCATTTATCTTTTACATTTGATCAACGACGCAGTTTACGACGCTATGGTTGTGCTTGGGTAAGGTGGCAAAAAGGGGTATCGAGTACACACGTCGTCTCATCCATTAATGTAGGCGTTATGGAACAGTTCAATTATATCTTGAAACCAGTGATGGGCGCTTGATCTTTAAGGAATTCCTTATCCCGGCCCCTGTGCTTGCATCTTGTTCGGTTTTTGTAAGTGGATGCTTCTCACATTGTATGGATATATACTTATATTGTTATAGGAACGATCCTTGTTGGTCAGCTTGAAGAACCAAGTCCATTTCATTGAATTCACTTATTCCAGTCAGCAAGAACCAGACAACATTGTGCTAAAATCGACTCGACTGAATACGTTGCAAGATATCACGCATATCCATGACATCCATCACGAGGCTTCAACTTATCAGCTACTGCTCGTCAAAGACAATTCTCAATTGATTCAAGCATCATGTGACTTTGGGTAAGGAATCAATCAACACAAGTCCTCTCTTTTATCATGATTGCTCATAAAGTATCAAGGGCAAGGATCGAGGCCAAACAAGACTCTGAGCTTCTTGAGCAGACGATTTCAAACATCCTGGATGAGCTTTCGGATTACGAAAAGGCCAAAAAGGAAATGGATAGTCATGTTGAGGTGAGCATATAATACATCATGGAATGCTTATGAGCTAACAGAAGTTTGGATAGCTTTTAAATGAGAGATTGATTGCTATGAATCGAATCATCTACGGCCTGCAGCGGATCAAGGGTCAAAAGACGAGGTTACAGCTTGAGAAGGATGATGATTCTTCACCATTCCAATGCGACTTGCAACCAATAATTGTACCAGATTCGAGGCGTCTTTTTATGAAATCAGCGGCCTGCTTACGACTTCGTATTCGTGCATTGATCCCGATGGATTGGTCTCAATGGAGCTGTAAGCTATGCTTGGGTCTTTTTACCGTGAGAGTGCTTCTAACAGCATGACTTTATAGTACATGTCAATATGTGCCATCAACGCACATCGCTACGACAAGTGACTACACCATGTACCCAAGAGCAAGATTCAGTGGATGGGACCACCTTGATTGTACCTCTGGCAGGGCTCACGGATCATCACGTGTGGTAAGTACATGCACGCTATTTATACTACAATGACTCACAGTCAACTTGTAGGGAGCAAGATATTCCTGTGGACATTGCATCTCTTCGTTTACCGCTTTCAGTATCCATGCACCTATCCACGCATCTCAATCTTTCAATCCCTCCAATTCACAATGCGCATGAATCATCACAGGCGGACTCTCAATCGAACAGGGGTAAAATGGATGGATTCATCACTTCTCAATCATTCAATCTAATCAAGTATTCCTCACATAGAGATGACCAAGCAGTTTACGTTTCCGTTGTCAGACTTTGATTTGGATGACTTGCATTTCATATCGCCATGCACGGATGATGCGCTCAAGATGCTAAAAAGGTCTGGTGTCCCTGGTGCGACTGCTCGTCTTTGCGAACAACAAGCCATTCGAAAAACGCTTGACAACTCCAATCAGTACCCATTAGCACGGCTGGAAGTGAGTATCCATCAAAACTATGCCATTACCGAATCATTAACATTTCCATCTAGGGCCCATCTTTTGACAAGCTAACGATGGATAAATACGAATCAGCATCCTTACGTTTCCTCGTAAAGCCTCGCAATGATAGCACCGTCGATGAAACTTGCAATCATATTCTGGAGACCTTTTTAAGTGAAGCTCGATCAAGGTATTACTTATATATGGTGTCAACATCATCAATGCAGCAATGCTTATCTCATGCATTAGGAACGAGCTTGACAAGATCTTGGATACCCCACATCAAGCCTTTTTTACTCTTCTATCTTATCCTGAATATCCAGTCAGCTTACGCCTTTCAAGAGGTAGGAGTATTGATCTTTTGAAGGGTGACAATACTCACGCATCGAAATAGATTCTTCATCCCCGATATCCATCACGATTCATATTCATTGTCTGAACCCGGTAGTCATGCTCAAGGTCGAATCATCATTATTGGCCCGATCACGTGAGTTCATGGTTGACAACGAGGACACAGGTAAACAGGAACATGGTAGATTTAAGAGAAGTCTTGTTAAGCAACATCCTTGTAGATGCCCTACTCGATCAAGCCCAACACGCTTTCGTGATAGCAGCACAAGATCTCGAAGAAAAATTTCGTGTGGGTTATCCTCAGCATGAATTCTGGAACTCGCTAAAAACGACAATGATACAGCTACGTAAGATTTATAGTAATGCTATCCTTGGAACGCTTTGCTTGTAATTACCACTACTATTATTACGATACAACCACGCACATAATAAAGAGTACAATAACCACCAGCAAATCATAAGCGACCCTTAGACACAATGATGTCCACCTCCCTAGTAGATGCACTTTATTGATTGTTGTGAAGAAGAAGATGCATAGTAGCTATATTTACTGTGACCCGGTGACTGGTCTCTTTGTTCACAGATATCACTCATCATCTGATCATTGCCAGCAATAGCGCCCCTGTACCACTTTTGAACCCATAAAGCAGGATTTTATCGATAGTCGTCATTCAAGTTGCCGTCATTGAGTGTATATAGATGTCACAGGGGCCCGGCAGGTTTACCTGCACCAGCCAATAGACCCATCTCGGGCTTTGACCTACTTTGTCCCATTGCAACTAATCCAATTTTCGGGGATACCGACCGTGTGAGAGAGGTTACTGCGACATTATAAAAGCGTATCACCCCACCTTTTCAGTCCTATGTAATCCTTTCCGCTCCCAAGAAAATGCCACATCCAAAACCTGTCTACTGTTATAACTGTGGTTCCAGTAAGCACATCACCATCATCATACATAGCCTATTTCTTATAGTAACATATATCTTTTATGCATGTACATAGCCGCCCACACAAAAGACGTGTGTGTAAATATCCTCCACCTAATAACAACCTCTTAACCAGTAGCTAATGAGCTCAATTTATTCTCTTATCTAGCCCGAGTGGGTGTACAGATTCATTTTTGTGGGAGGGGAGAGTATCACACAACCACTAATATTGACAACACTCTCGTTATAGAATACTCAAGAAACCAGGCCCATATTAAGAGAACAAAGCCATCGACTTGGTCACAATGGAAAATCATGTATAGCTGTTACATTGTTTGAAGGGATCATTGTTGCTATGATAAGGTTACTTTTTGACGACAAATACAAGCATGTGTGAAAAGGATGTCAATAATGGTGCTGTGGAGTTATGTAATGATGATAGTGTGTGTGTGTGTTTACTCTTGGTAGGGTTCAAGCTAAAAGAGAAACAAAGCATGTTAGCCATTGTATCAATATAAGAGTGCTGCTACTACATACCATCAATGAAAGTGTCTTGCTCGAATTAGCGTCTTGATCACGGTAAATGCCGACCAAACTTTCTGCCTTCTCGTACAGCGTGTTTTTCAGCGAAATGACAATGAACTGGAAGTCCTCACTTGCATGCTCTCTAATGTAAGATGCAACAGTGACAACATTGGTATTGTCCAGAGCAGCATCCACCTCATCCAAGACGAAAAAGGGTGATGGTTGGTAACTAAAAGATCAAACCCAATGGATCAGTTTTAAAAGTCCCTTTCTCCTTCCTGGTGCACCAAGTTCAGCATTACCTATGAATGGCAAATAATAGAGCTAAAGCGGCAATACTCTTTTCACCACCTGAAAGCTGATCCATATCACGGAATTTCTTCATGGGAGGCATTGCATGGTATCGAATGCCTTCAAGATAAGGCTCCTCCGAATCATCAAGACTGAGATAAGCTGTACCACCATGAGGGAAGGTCTCGCTTGTCGTAAGGGCCTTGTATACTCGATCGATCCTTCCTGAAATGTGGCTATAAGCATCGTAGAATAGCTTATACCTAAAGAAATGGATATGAGTGGTGTCATTGTTAAAATAAAAAAAAGGAGAAAGCTTTACCGTTTTTGTTTGACGTTGCTGAATTCTTGTTTTGCTCGCTTGGCGTCTCTTCTTGCATCATCGAATTGATCCTCTGCTTCCTTTAGTCGCTGTTCAACGCCTTCCAAACGATCAATCGCCTTCATATTGGGGGCCATTTCATCAATCTCCTCAGCTCGACGCTTAAGCTCATCCTTGAATTCCTCATCACGAGCAGAGCTGCCATTCTCTTTCAGGTCCTCATCAAGCGAATCATAATTGACTTCAACCATCCAATCAGTGGAGCGTATAGAGAGTTGTGATGGTGGCTCATCATCCACATCCATGGCACTCGAAGATTGTGTCTAAAATAGAGGGGATCATGTTAAAAATTACATCCCGATAGGGTGGATGATATATAATACGTACGCTGGTACCAAGGCTGCCACTGCCCAAGTTATCCTCCATGATGACATCGTCCATGCTTCCTCGTAAAAGAGGCAATTCAATATCCTCCAATTTGCATTTACGGAAAATAGCCACTCGTTCAGCATGCACCTTTTCCATCTCGGTCTCCACTTGGGACATCTCCTTCAAGTAGCTTTGAACGTCTCGACCCTTGGCTTCCAATTTGGCACGCAGCTGATCAACGGCTTCTTGCTTTTCATCCTCCAAAGCTGTTTGCTCTTGTAACTCTGCATTGGATGTTGCAAGATCCTCATTCATTTGTCGCATACGTTCAGTAGCTTGGCCAATTTGGGTTTGTAGATCCGCCAACGTCTTTGTATCCTCATTGTACATGGTTTCCAGCTTTGAAAGACGCTCTGCTAGCTCTGATAACTGTCCTCGCTCAAATGATAGCTGTGTCTCCAATCTGGAACGCTGAGCTGCGAATTGTGCTCGTTGCTCGATCACTTCTTCAGGAATACCATATCGCATGGATTCGTACTCTCGAATGTTGGATACACCAATGCGGCTGCAAAAGTCGGCAAAGATCTCATCCTCAATAGTGGCCAATGCTGATTTCATCTCTTCAATCGATGCTGCTAATGAATCCAATTTCTCCTTGGCCTAATGTCATGACATGTTAATAACATATACACGGCTTGCATCAAGGATTGCCATACCTGATCATAAGGTGCTTGGGCGCTGACTAATTGTTCTTCAACATAACGCATCTCGTTTCGCACATCCTGTAACTTTTGCTCTGCAGTGGTCTTTTACATCATAGGTGAATAAGATGCCTATTGATTTTGTAGTTGAAAGGCAATACTTACAATTTCTTCCCGAAGTACACTGAGTTGTCCTTCAAGCTCGGCACAATCATTCTTTGCAGCTTCTTCAGCACTGCCCATTCTTCTTTGCTTGTTGAGGTCGTTCAATTCACCAAGAAGCTTATCTCGTGTACGGGTCAAGCCTATGGATTGAAATCTTTGTTAGCTGTCTGATCTCATACATTCCATAGCAACAAGACCAACCTTCGATATCACTTTCTTGCCAACGGGTTGCGGCCTGATTCGTACTATGACCACCCGTAATAAGACCACTTCGATGAATCACCGTGCCATCCAAAGTTACAGCTATAGAGAGTTGGCGAGTTAGTTACATGTTGTCATTGATGAGGTGTCTTTCTTTGCTTACCCTTCACGTCCTCATTTTTCTCGTAGCAGATTTGCTTTGCGATTTGGACCGTATCACATACGATGGTGCTACCACAGGCATACTGGAGAACAGTCTCAAACTTTTTGTCACTCTTCACCACGTCAACGGCAAGTCGAGCACCACGGGTATAGTTTCTGAAACGATCATTGATCATAGGCACTTGAATCCAATTGAGTGGAAGGAAGGTGGCGGTACCAACACGTTGATCACGCATATACTAATGTCACCATCATTAATAGGTAGGCCCAATCACAAAAAAAAGCATAGCAATTTACCTGGATACATTCAATGGCTGTTCGCTGATCCTCGACGACAATCGAATCCATGTTGCGACCAAGCACAGTAGCAACAGCAACATCGTATCTTCTTTGAGTAGGACGGCAAAGATCAACAAGCTTTCCATGAACGCCTATTAATGATACGTGTTGGTTGAGAAGTAGTTTTGGAGGATCGATTCATGCATCGTAATACCTGGGAAGATTTGCTTCATCATATTCAAGCATTCTTTGAATCGTGTTTCTTTCTCAGACTCCCGTTGCTCTGCCTTGGCTTGCATCAATCGATTGAGTGTCTCTTGAAGCTTTTCATTCAACTGGATCTCACGTTGGCTAACATAGCGATGAATACATGATTTGAAGGATCGCCCTCCATCCCTTGTTGTAAACTTACTGTGTTGTCTTTCGTTCCTCTTCCAATGCAACCAAATCCTTTTTACGACTCTGAAGCTGCTTATCCAATCCCTCAGCCTCGTCAACAAGAGCTTGACCATCCATTTTCACTTGACGCTCATCTTCCAAAAGCTGCGACTTTCTGATTTGGAATTCCTCGGTCTTGGATGTGATGCGTTTGACGTTTTCCAACTCCATCTTGTGTTGACGCTGCAATTGCTCAAGTTGTTGCTCTTCGGTAACAGCGCGAATGCTGACTTGTTGCTTACTACACGAACGTTGTCAACGAAGGCGTTCCCTTTTTTTCCATGTTCCTCCTTTTTCTACTTACAGTTGTTCATATTGCTCCACTTGCTCAGCGGTTAAAACAGGGCCTTTGACCAATCCACTCTCGGGAAGAGAAGCTGATAATGAACGAATATTAATCCACTATAAGAGGGCATGCATAAATCCAATATTTACCTTCGTATTCTTCTGAAGACTTGTTCAATTTGCCAAGGCTTTGTTCAAGGTTTGTCACTTCCTGTGCCTGTTCCCATACTAAGTATATACGCCAATGACCATAATCCCACAAGTTTACCTGTTGGTCATGCTCATGCTTGAGACGGTCTCCATTTTGCTTAGTTTGCTCAATACGCTTTTCAATATGGCTGACTTGTTCTTGGATGCTGATCAAATTGGGGCGCTAGATGGATATGCATGCTTAGTACCCTCGATCCCCATGATATACGTATCGCCTTGTATTACTTACATGCTCTTCCAATTCCTTCTTCAGCTTTTTGATTTGTAATTCTCTCCGAGTCTTTTCACGATGAATCAAAGCCTGCTCTTTGCGTGTCGCCTTGAATTGTTCCTCCAATTGCACCTAGATGATGTACTTTGTGAGCACCTTGTATCACCAATAACACCATTTCATATATATATCTACCTGATCCCCAGTCGCACCATCAGCATCCATCTTTCGACTGCTTGCTGACTTTTCCAATTCTTGTGATCGTTGCTCAATATGATAAAGCTTCCACAAGAGATACTTGACAGCCACTTGACGACGTTCACGCACAAGACTCTCAAACTTTTCAGCCTCCTGCTTTTGCTCCTTGTATTGCTTGACTTCGCTGGTGACACCACGTTTCTTGTTGAAGGCGTGAGCGCTGTCCTCAATAGCACGATCCTGAATCTTCTTCAATCGATCATATTCCTCCTTGTATTCCCAAGATCTTTCATAAACGACAAATGTCAGTGACACAACACTCGACAAAGAAAAGAATCAATCGACCATCCTTACCCACTGATTTGTTCGATCAACTTTGTAAGATCCTTGGCGCTTTGACTGGCTACGGATTCCACATCGCCTTGAAAGACCAAAAAGTTCTTGGCCTTGATGAGGATGTTTTCCTTTTGCAATGCTGTATTGTATTCGGCAAAGGTGACCTGGCGATCATTGATGCGATATTCGGATTGACCAGAGTGTTGCACCGTACGCTTGAAACGGACCTCTTGTCCACGTGCGTTCTCGTATACAAGGACAACATGGGCTCGTCTTGCTGCCATAGCACGTGAATCGGTTTGCATAGCTGTGGGACGATAAATCATATCCTTCAAACTCTGAGATCGTAGGTGCTGCGAATTGACACCGAGAACAAACGAGATGGCATCCATAAGATTCGATTTGCCTATGCCACATTGGGTGTCAGAGGAACGAACGATAAGCTAGCCCCCATTAGACTATTGTTGTTTACCTGATCCATTGGGACCAATGACACTTGTGAACTTGTGGAAGGGACCAATGACCTGGTGGCCCTTGTATGATTTGAAATTGTCGACTTCCAGGCGTACGAGCTTTCCCATGGCACACACACGTCGATATCAGGAACTGCGGAGGAGAAGGAAACGCGTTGACAACGCGAGCCGAAAATCGCGTTCATTTGCTCCATTAGCGGCATCAGAAAAAGTACATTCGACCCATCTAGCTGTCCACACTCCTCCATCTCACCCACCCACAGCCGTATGCAGTAGCACCCTTCTTTCTTAATATGTATACATGATGCTTCTTTTATTCGAAACTTGTTGACAACATAAATGACTGATTGCAAGATGGAGATAAAAGCACGTGACATGAGAATTTCCTATGTGAGTGAGCTCTCAGCAAGCAGCAGGAGCATAAAAATCTTCGCTCAATCAATTATGCAGGCTTCTTCTCACTACACCCGCCAATGAAGCACCGATCTCGAAAATCGCAACCCAAGGTAGAACAACTTGACGCTGCATGAGTGATCCGTGAACTGATTGGACGATCTTAGGGAGCCACTCCTCATAGACCTTATGGCGAGACTGTCAAGGACAATGAAAAGTTCAAGACGTACTACAAGGTAGATTGACTAGATCAACACGCGATCGATGACTTTTATTGACACTTTCCATAGAGCCAGAATATGCTTTCTGAAGAAGAGTTTGAGGAGTTTTACAAAGCGTTGCAACAGCCTCTTCCCACCACTTTCCGTATCACTGGCAGTCGAAGGTAATCATGGAGAGATATGGGGTTGCCTAGGACCTCTCTCTTATTCATGTTGTATTGTAGCAACAAGTTGCAGCTGCGTGAGATTGTAGAGGAGATGTTTGTACCAAACATGCAAGCCATCGAAGTCGAAGGCCAAGTATTCGAGCCACCAAAACCTTTGTCCTGGTATCCTGATCACCTTGGATGGCAAGTGAATGTACCACGTAGCTTGCTTCGCAAGTCGGCCGAATTTGCAAAGTTTCAAAAGTTCATTGTTGCTGAGACCGAAGCCGTAAGTGATATGAATTGTACGTGGATATGCAAAAATGGCTGACAAGGTGGTGGTGATAGGGTAATATGAGCCGTCAAGAAGCTGTCAGTATGGTGCCACCCCTTTTAATGGATATTCAACCTCATCACTGGGTCCTTGACATGTGTGCTGCACCTGGTTCCAAGACTGCTCAAATCATCGAAGCCGTGCATGCCAATGACCAATTGAATGAATTGCCGAGTAAGTTTACAAAGAAGCAACGCACCCAAGATCATGCTGGTTTAATCTATAATGTTATTAGAGGGTCTCGTGGTTGCCAATGATGCTGATTATCGACGTAGCCATATGCTTGTTCACCAATCAAAACGCTTGCAATCTGCTTGTTTCATGGCAACCAACCACAAAGCTCAGCAATTACCCACCGTCCATGTGGTAAGTGACAAACATGTGAGCCACATAATTCTAGTAACACGTTTCGCTAGGTGAACGAAAAGGGTGAAAAGGAAGGATGGCAATTCGATCGTGTATTGTGTGATGTTCCTTGCAGGTAAAATGGAAACCAAAAAAAATATCATAAAGTCATCGAAATCTAATGGTCATTTATAGTGGTGATGGTACTTTGCGCAAGAATGAAGGCATCTGGAACGATTGGAGACCTAGCAATGGCCTTGGATTGCACCGGTAGGAAATGATGCATATATACATATATAGCCAATTAGCTCACCACCACCACCACCACCACCACCACCACCACCACCACCACCATGATGTTGTAGTACTCAAGTCCAGATCTTTTTGCGTGGTGCTCAACTGACCAAACTCGGTGGACGTCTTGTTTATTCAACATGTTCATTCAACCCTATTGAAAATGAAGCTGTGGTTGCAGAGGTGCTTCGTCTTGCAGAAGGTATGTGTGAAGGAGGAGAAGGTGGTGGCGGAGTAAATGTTTATGTGGGGGAAAATGGGATCGCATGTGAGTAAACAAGGCATGATCTTGTAATAGGTGCATTGGAGCTTAAGGATGTTTCAAATGAGCTTCCCGAATTACGTCGTAAACCTGGTCTCACGACATGGAAGGTATTACTCTTATGAACGATATTTATACGTTGCATCGATTTTATTCATGACTGCATCTACTTACAGGTGATGACCAAAGACGGCCAATTTGTTGATTCTATTGACGATGTGCCAGACAGCAACTTGCCTGCCTCCGTTTTCCCGCCTGCCAATGCTGCTGATTTGCATTTGGAACGATGGTAATACAATGGAACAAACAACAACACGTGGTATATGCATACTAAATGTTCTGTCATTACCACAGTTTGAGAATTTACCCACATCAGCAGGATACAGGTGGCTTCTTTGTCGCTGTGTTTGACAAGGTTAAACCCATGACGGCTGCTGACAAGGCAAAGGTGGCCAAATCTCATGGTCAACAGGTGAACGAGCAGGAAGTTGAAGCTGCTGAAGCCAAGGAAGAGAACCTTGTAAAGTCCGTTTCAAAGGAAGAGGAGGAAGAGGAAGAGGATCAAGAATCACCCAAGGAGGAAGCTGCTACCCCTGCTGCTGCTGCTGACGACAACAATGCAGAAGCCATTCCTGCCAAGAGAGCAAGTGGATCTGGTCCCAAGAGAGAAAGCAAACGTCAACGTAAGGATGTTCGTCAACGTCAAGAAGCACCTTTTGAGCTTATGGCTCCTGACAATCCTGATGTGGATGAAATTGCGTAAGTGTTGTATGATTGTCAAGTTGAGAGAGTACCCCTGTAAACTCATTCCATGATATTGTTATTAGCAAATGCTATGATCTCAGCACCGAATTTCCTCGGGACCAATATATCTTGCGAAGTGAAGATGTGGCCAAGAATCGCAACTTGTACTTTGTTTCCAAGCCTGTCAAGATGGTTCTTGAATCACCTGACAAGGACCGCTTGCATATCGTCAACACCGGTTTGCGTCTCTTTTCACGACAAGGATCCCTTCAAGACGAGATCGAGTCACCCTTCCGATTGACAACAGATGGTTTGCCTTTGATTGAGAAATACTTTACGACCGAGCGAAGGATAGTGGATATCACTGACAAGGACCTACGCGTGTTGCTTTTGGAGCATATGCCAAAGATCGAGACATTTGATCCTGAGACACAAAAGAAAATGGACAAGCTGGGTAAGAGTTATCCTATTTAAAGGGTGGGAGGTATTTTATTAACGAAGACATACGTGTAGCTTCCGGTGGATGTATTCTACGTATTGATTTGGCTCAAGCCTTTGATAAGCCGTAAGTAGTAGTGGTGGTGGACTCTTATTCAATGATGAACAAGATTTTGACAACGAGGATTATAGATTGAAGACCACACTTTCCATGTCGATGCCCATTTGGAAAGGCAAGTCATCCGTGAATCTGCTGATCAACAAGGTAGATAAAAGGTATGTATCATGGATTACATTACCATGGATAGAGGTCAAGTGGTTAACTGGAGACATGTGGGGAATTTAGGTTACTTTGTCAACGGATCTACGGTGTTACACCCGAGCCCAAGAAGGCTGAAAAATCAGAAGCATGATCAAGGAATGTCATCTGACTATGTTTTCATATAGAATAATAAAACAACTGATTGGATCAGAAGGATGAAGGGGATTTACCCTATTTGGAGCGTAAGAATGTTGGGGATGTCATTGGTTAAATCATTACGGCCCAAGACGTGCGTGTATGTATCAAGTATATATGCATTCACGGATGGTTGTCCATGTGGGGTGGATGAGCGTGTGAGAATATCTGGATTCATGACAACTTGAAATAAGAGAGAGCACAACCCTTCTTTTCTACTCGTTTCTTTTCTTTCTTTCAAAGATACTTATTTTTTAAATCATGGCCGAAAGTCAACAACAATCGAATTATGGCGTGCTATTGAATAAGCCGAATGATCTTCAAGTCGTTGAGATTCCCGTACCTACTCCAAAAGCTGGTGAAGCTCAAGTCAAAGTGATGGCGACGGGTATTTGTGGTTCTGATGTACATCTATGGAAACATGGTAGCATTGGTATCTTTTCAATGACGGAGCCTTTATTGCTGGGACACGAAAGCGCGGGTGTGGTCACTGCTGTGGGTCCTGGCGTTACCGATTTAAACGTAGGAGATCGTGTAGCCATTGAAGCGTACGTACTAGTATTCAAAAAAAGAGAACCCATTGACTTATACTTGTATGATTAGAGGCATTCCATGTTCTCGATGTGATCAATGTATGCAAGGTCGTTATCATTTATGTCCTGATGTCGTATTCAAGTCGACCCCACCGGATGATGGGCTATTGGCACAATACATTTGCCATCCTGCTCGTTGGCTACACAAGATCCCGGACTCGATTTCATATCAAGAAGGTGCCCTCTTGGAACCTTTGAGTGTTGCCATATCAGCTATCGAGCGTGTAGGTGTTTCATTTGGTCGATCCTTGTTGATTACTGGATGTGGTCCTATCGGATTAATGGTCCTTGCAGTAGCAAGAGCCATTGGCGTAAGTCCGATCATTGTCACTGATGTACAACCAAGTCGCCTTGCCTATGCTGAAAGAATGGGTGCCGATTATACATATCAAGTCAACCCACGTTTAACCGATGTCGACATTGCTCGTGATATTCGTGCCCTTGTTGATCAAGAAGGAGGTGCGGGTGTGGATTATTCGCTCGAGTGCACAGGGATTGAATCCTCTTTTCGAGCTGCCATCATGGCTACCAAGGATGCAGGCACCTGTTGTCTTGTGGGCGTAGGCAAGAATGATCAAACACTACCCGTCAACAATTTTGCCATGCGTGAAGTGGATATCAAGGGGCTTTTCCGTTACCATCACACGTACCCACGTGCTATTGCCCTTATGGCTAGTGGCAAATTGGATGTCAAACATTTGATCACACACCAATATGCATTCATGGATGCAGTCAAAGCCTTTGAGACTGCAGCCGATTATTCCACAGGAGCTATCAAGGTTCAAATTATCAATGAATAAAGAAAAAAAAGGAGGAGTACATAGTAGGCGCAGCAGCAGTAATACATACATAGCCACCAACAATGCAATTGCCTTTTACGCAAATGATAAACAGAAATAGAATATGTTTATTCTAATTATGTATCCTTTTTGTCAACAAGGTGCAGTAATGGTATCGGTTCTAATGCGAATGGAGGGAGGTCGGCTCTTTTTTTCTTTTAGTCTATGTGCTACAACATGAAATCTTATAATGGTGATGTTCCTGCTGACATGACGGCATCAAGATTGGGAGGTGTTGCTACCAATGTCGATGATAATTCTGCAGCCCCACGAGCAGCACTACTCAGCACATGTGCCGCCGTTGATCTGGTTGAGTTGTTGTTGTTGTTGTTGTTGTTGTTATTGGTAGCAGTGGTATGATCCGTAGTGGTGGTGGTGGATGATGGAACGGGAACACCATGATGGTGATGATGGTTGTTGTTGTCTTCTTCTTCTTCTTCGTGTGATGGTTCAGGCTCAACATTGGTCGTCGTTGGATGAAGTTCTTCACCACCAATATCACTTGGATGAACATCGTCATCATCATCATCGGTATGATCACCTTGGTCATGGTCATGTTTCTCCTTGTCTTGATTTTCACCCATAATCTCCACCAAATCTCGTACTTCGATGGCGACACTTGCTTCAAGATCAGAATAGCTGCGGCATATAGGACATGAGAAACCAGGATAGTTTTGAAATAAAAGTGGTCGTAAGCACTTGAAATGGAAAATGTGGGAGCAGGGTGAAATAAACAATGCTTGCAAAGGAGCAATGGCATAGAGACATATACAGCATTCTTGGATTTGATCCCCCGTTGGTGGTGCTGCTGGTGCAAGAGGTGATCCTTGTCCCGTTGTAGCTGTTGCCGTATTCTCAATCCCTTGTCTCAAATCCTTTGCGTCTTCATCACGTGATGGTTGCTGCTGCTCTTGTGGTGTTGGGCCAACGGTTGTTATTAAATGTTGTCGCAATTGTTGGAATGCGGCACGACTGAACGGCTGAGATACGGTGGGTGGTTCACGATTCAGTTCCACGCGCATACGCACAGCACGAAACATGGTCTCAATACCACCTTGATAATCCACACCCAATTGAACCAAATCACCATCCTTGATTTCCTGAGGAGCACTGGGCACACCAGCAGGCGAGAGTCGGGCTCTATTCACGAATGTACCACTTGAAGAACCCACATCCCTTAGATAGACCTATACCCACACACATCTTAATACTTGAGGTTGCTCCCCCTTCCACTCTTCTTACCTTGTTATCTTCTTCAGTCCAAAGTTCAGCATGGTTACGGCTTACAACTTTGCTCTTGAACGAAAGTCGATCATCGGCAATGTTTCGATCGCTGTATCGGCCAATTTTGAAAACGACACCAGGTGGAATCGTACGTTCAATGATATCAAAGACAAAGCAACGACTGCCAATCCCCAAGTTGGGCACCATACGAATGTTTGTCCCATTGCTACCGTTGTTGCTGCCACGACTCTGAGTGCGATTGGGAGGATCGGAAGCTGGGAGGGAATTAGAAGACGAGTTGGCAGAAGACATTATGGCATTGGGTTGTGTTTGTAGTTGCGAAGGAGGAGGAGGTGGACAATCATGCTGTTGTTGCTGTTGTTGGTCTTGTTGTTGTTGTGATGCTGGTGAAGAGGGTACAGAAAGAGAACGTCGTCGAGCTCGTCTTATGCTTCTGAAACCACGACTAAGAAGAGCTGGTGACGATGGACCAGAAGATGCTGCTGCGGGTGATGTTGAAGATGCTGGTGGTGTTGACGGAGAGTTATTAAGCGAGAAACTTCGAAAGCGTGGCATGGATCGTCTTTTTGTGTAAACTATACAAAGAACAAAGGCAAAGGAAAAGAAAAAAAGAAAGGCACACAGACACAAGGGCTTTAGAAACGACCCTTTGAATTAGAAACATAACCAATCGCCACTGAAATGCTGTATAAAATGGGTTGCAATATCCCAAATACTTAGCTTGATGGTTTCTTTGTCTTTGATGTATTAGCGCACAATGAAGTCTACCCTTGTTACACATACAATGCTAGTAGCGCCCATTGTGTAGCTGTTACACACACACGCACACACACACGCACTCACTGTGGGGGGGTGATGATGATGATTGACAGGATGATGATGTGTGTGGCGGCGCGGTGATGCGGTTACCCGGCGACTGAAACAACACGACATGATCTCATAGGAAGGCACGTGAGTGGGTGTTGGGTTATCATATAATAATGCACGATGCCAATCACTATCAATAAACAAAAGCGGTATTTGCTGTGGGACAAGCAGGACATGCAGCCACTCTTGTTTTTGTTGTTGTCGCTGCTGTGTCACTTGCCAAAGAGTCCCTGCTGTTGTTTCTGTCGCATCCACGACATGATGGAAACCAAACATACACATATTAACTCCGTGGCTTTTGAGCATAGATAAAGGGACAATCCATTCCATCTTAGCCACTTTTTCTTTCTCTCGCATCTCTTTTTCTTTTCTATATCATCATCAAGACGACATTGAGATGGCTGATCAACCACAAGCAATGCGTGATTCTGCAAACCTGGAAGCAGCAGCAGCCCCTGTTACCCCGGCAAAGTCTTCTTCGGGTATCTTACCTTCGGTGCCACGAAAGATCTTTTGGCTTTGGATTGCCTTGGGTATCATCCTAGTAGCAGCTGTTGTGGGTACGGTGCTAGGTGTTGTTCTTTCAAGAACAAACAGCATGAAACCAGTACAATTGCAAGATCATCCCGCCGACAGCGACGATCCTACCATCAGCATTGAAAACATTGGCGATTTTCATGCATTATCTCAATTTGCCAATCTCACAGCGATGAAAGTCATTCATGACGATCCACGTTTCGAACCTAATAACAAGAGCCGTATTTTCGTTGTTGGCGATGTTCATGGCTCCCTTCCAGAACTCAATGCCCTTGTGGAAAAACTCAAATACGATTACGACCGTGGTGATCGTTTGATTTTGGCAGGTGATCTTGTGGACAAAGGCCCTGATAGTATAGGTGTCATTCGACGCGCAAAGCAACTAAGAGCTTGGTGTGTTCGTGGCAACCATGACGATAAAGTCGTACGCTTAGCCACGTATCATCGGCAGGGTGCTAGCTTTGGTGGTACAGGTGATGCGAATATCCCGGAAGGTGCTGTACATGATCCATTAGCAAACGACAACCATCACATTGCCATTGCAAGGTATGTCCTCTTTATTGCTTGCTAGTAGTAGTAGTAGTAGTACTTTGGCGATGATGCATTCGACAACAACGTGAGGCGCAATATAAAAAGTCATGCGTACATAGCATCGTGCATACCGCTGCTACTACTGCTGCTGTTTTATTATACATGTAAAATATTTATATATAACTTTTGTTTTCTTTTGCATGAACGATAGCAACATGACCGATGACGATTATAGCTATTTGGCAAGTTGTCCCATGATCCTTGCTGTGCCAGCCATCGAAAGTTTATTTGTGCATGCAGGCGTGCATCCTAACCGGCCATTAGACAAGCAAGAGCCTTTTTTTATCATGAACATGCGATCATTGACCGCCACAGGTGATCCCGTCAAGAAATCATCAGAGGGTGAAGTCCCATGGAGCGATGTTTGGAATTCGGTACAAGGCAACAATACGAGCAAAGACGCTGCTCAATCCACTGCAACAAGCCCATATCGGAAGGTCTATTATGGTCATGCAGCCTCACGTGGTCTGGAGCTGAAAAACTACACTTTTGGTGTCGACACAGGATGCGTCTATGGCGGCAAGCTCACTGCATTAGAGATAAAAACTGGAGATTTGACCCAAGTGCCTTGTAAAATGTATTACGACGATAGCAAATGATGATGATGAAATTATACCAACACATATCTATTACTATTTAAAAGTGGACCGATCATAATAACCCCCACTCTGAGTATTCATTTCCGTGTATGTAGCTACTGCGTTGTTGTTGTATGTTTGGTGCTGATGGCATCCATTGAGAAAAAATCAGCCGAGTGATAATAAAAAGAAGAATGTTCATGCATCTACATGGTTCGATGACTTTTTTTTCGCCTTTACATTAGTTGATGCGGTTTTTGATTCTATTCCTGCTACTTGCATCCGCGTTAGGTAAGCATGACTGGAAGAACATTATTACCGCCGCCATCCCTTTCCCTTCCCCTCCCACCCCCTTTATTTTACCAGTTTAGCGGAAGGTTTCTTTTTTCATTTAACCTTGCCATCCGCTTTTTTCGTATGCAATTGCATTAGTGTATGCATCACCGGATACTTCCGCACCCCATCCCGTTACATATCAAGTTGTGATCAATACACCGGATCGTGAATCGGAAATTGTAGGTGTAGCTGTGGGTCAGGAGGTATATGGTTTGGCACCCGATCCTACAGTCCCCATGCTGTATACCGGCATTGGTCCATCCTCCAGCACCTATCGCTATGTCATTTTGGATAAAAATGACAATAGCATCATCCATTTTGAGCCATTCGAAAGACCTGCTATAGAACATGCCAACAGCACCTTTTACGAGACCTATGGCCGACCATGGAACAAATTGGATCTGCCAGAGCTTCCACAACTATACAAGTTTGAACCAAAAGACCCTGCTGCATCTCCGCTATATGAAGATGGGACCATCATCACGCTGCATTTTAATGTCGATGAAGAGCAAACGCAGAGTATGCATGAAAACAAATATGACAAAAAATCCGCCAAGGTGAATGGTACCATGACCTACATATCGTAAGGGACAAATCCCAACACCCAGGGTCTCATTTTTTACTCACATGATGTTGTAGCTATAATAACGTACAGCAATTCCAAAATGTGGAGCTCAAGGTGGGTGGCCATTCAAGCAGACGTTGGGCAAAGGTGCCATACAAGATCAAGATCCCACACAAGAGTGCACCTGAGGGTCTTTATAGACGTTGGTCCTTCAAGCTAAGATCGGAAGCAACCGATCCCACAATGATGCGTGAGATGCTTTACAATGATTTGCTAAAGTCCACTGGCATTTTGGCTGCACGTGGTGTCTATGCTCGGTAAGTTGAGCCCATCCCATTGATTGGTATGCATATCATCTCATGACAAGCCAATAGCATGTATATCAATAATCGCCCAGCTGGTCTCTTTTTGTTAGTGGATGATAGTGGATCCACAAGGTGAGTTTTAAAAACATGGCAACACACACGACGACATGGATACCAATATGAATCTACTATGTAGCTTTATCAAGGAAACCATTCATCAAGGTGAAAGCAATGTTACTTTGGGTGATCTTATTCAAGGAGATGCAGGCAAAGGTGCCTATGCTGCCAACCTTGGTTTTATTGGTGATACTGCTGAGGCTTATGACGACAAGGTGTACAAGGTCAAAAAGGCGAAAACAGCCGAGCAAAAAGAAGCAGCCATGCAGCCTTTGATTGAATTCATGCAATTTATTGACAGCTATGATCCCGAGGATGCTCCAGAGAATGAAGCCATGTTACTTGAACAATGGAAGCCTTACATTGATGCCAAGCAATTTATCCGACAAATGGCTTTGGAGTGGATTGGCGGCAATTGGGACGCTGTGCAATACTCAGGCAACAATTACGCCATGTATCATCATCCAACCACCGGCCAATATATAACCATCCCCATGGATTTCGATTATACCTTTGGCAATGGGCTCGAAGAAGATCAGCGTAACCTCATGACAGGCGAGTGGCCAGAATTTACGGCAGGTCGCAAGACACATTCCTTCTTGTGGGAACGTATCAAAGCCATTCCTCAATTTGTCAAAATGTACCAGGATACATTACGTGACATTAATACGCATGTATCCAATCCTCAAACCATGTTCAAGCGCATTGATGGTTTGGCTTACATGTTGCAAAGAGACGTTGTATGGGATCGATCCCTTGAACGCTTTACCGAAGGCTTAACACGACCTTGGTCAGCTGAGGATTTCCTTGGATCATTGGAACATGGCTCAGGACAACAAGATGAACAAATTGGTCTCAAAGAATGGATCAGTGGCAAGAGCGAAAGTATTATGAATATGCAAGATTTGTCCCCCTCCGGTCCTGATGGTGGCCTTGGTGTAGGCTTTTACCCTTTCAAAGAAGAAGATCTTCAAAGAGCATAAGAATAAACACATCATGCACTCTCACACACTCGTCTAACTTACGTACACAACTTTTCTCTTGCCGAGAAATGATGGTTACTCAATATCCGTTGCATTCGAACAAATTCATTCGCCAGCAAAGTGCTGAGTTTACCCATAGCCCCAAGTTCGTAATTGAATTATGCAAGGGCAATTGTCATGATATAGATACAATGTGAGCAAATGACGGATGGACATTGCTGGATACAGCATAGCGTATGATCGTTTACTACGTGGTCATGGTTACACTTTTGCGTCGTCGCTTGATAATGACAATGGGCTCCGACTATAATGTATATATATATATATAACGCATTTCAAACGTGTTCCTCTTTCATTAGACCTCTTCTTTTCTTTATTTCAAATCATGTCACTAGCTAAACCTTTGGCCAAGATACAAGCACTTTATACACCATCCAATGGCTCTATCACCAACCAGATATGGTATGTCCTTGCGGTAAGTTTCTCATGTGGCTCATTGCTTGAGTCCAGATCACTGATCAGGCATGGGGGTCGTCCATGTGTATAGGCAGTTGTCATGACATCGTTGAACCGGTCTCAGGATATCCCTCAAGTATATGAAGCAGTGGAAAAGACGGTGTATGCGGATGACAAGGATAAACAAGACACCGAAAAGAGCAAGGTGCTACTTCGGATGCGTGAAGGCATTTTCAAGTCCTTTGTGATTATTGGATACCCAAAGGTAAGGAGGGGTTCAGTGATTGTGATCTCTTTTGCCGATTAACATAGGAAACGGATGGATAGATCATCAATTCTCTTCAAGCTCTCAATACAGGCGTATCAACCCAAGTGCTATCCAAAATGCCGTCAACGCCGATTAGGTAAGCGTGTGAGTGACATTTTACAAAGAGTATCACAAATCCTCATGATCTCATATAGAACCGAATCATCATGGAACGATATTATCAAGCAGCGTGAACGTGGTCAACATTTGTTTGATACGATCTATGAGCGTCATTCAAAAAAGGTCCAAGAAAACATGTACACGGCGTATCCGGATCTTGGACAAGCAGCCATTCATCAGCTCTATGGACCCGTTTTGGCTGAATCAAGCGTGATTTCTGCCAAGGAAACAAGCTTGATCATGGTGGCTGGATTGATGTTACAAGACGTGCCTGCACAATTAAAGGGACATCGATATGGAGCACTACATCATGGTGCCACGCAACAAGATTTGGAACGTTTAGAAATCATGGTGGATATCATTGCAAGGCATTACAACGTCTAAAGTGTAGTAGTCGTCGTAGATTTGTATTAGAGTTATTTCATGTACCATAGTATTACGTTTTGCCGTGTGTGTGAATATCATTTTTTTCTCTCCTGAGGGCATGATGGAGGATCAAGATCATCACAACAAACAACGACGATTATTATTATGTTATGCGGTCGTCGTCAGCATATGATGAGGACCAAAAGTACAGTAGCAGCATGTGATGAGAAGGGGAGCAACCCAATCAAAAACAACCATCTGCTCGTGCAGAGAGAGATAAAGCTCGATCATCGCCGCGTCGTCGTGTCGTGGTTGCACGCAAAACAAACCACGCATGCATATGCCGCGCATTTTGCTTTGCTTCTTTTTTTCCTTTCAAAATCATTAGACGTGTTGGCAAGTGCAACGAGATACAAACAAATAAACAAAAAGCAGCCCATCTGATCATTCCTTCAATGATGATGAACCCGCCGCTCAACAAATACAACGCACGTCGTCGTCGATATTCGCAATTCGGGCGTAATCCATCAGTTAGGCGTTATTATTGTAATTTTCTACAAAACCAATGCATGCAGTATGTAGATCCATTATTCGGATATAGTAGTTTTAAGGTGGATTGGCACAGCATGGCCTCATCAGCTCAATGTTATAGAGTTAATCGATTTGCCACTTTATTCTCCCTGACAATGGTTGCTAGGCTACACGTGACCATGGAAACGCTTTTTGCGGGAGGCTCCCAGTTGTACAATGGATCCATGTTGCACACTTTGAGGGTGAGAGATAAATGCAGGAACTACTCTAGTAGGCAGGTCATCATGCTTTTGATTTGTGTTACAGCTGCTGTTGCTTTCCACCGCCACCACCATTTGTAACCCAATGTCCGCCGCCATCGCACAGGAGCTCATGAACGCTCGCAATCAAGATGACTTGGATCGCATAGAGCATGAACAAACGCAATGGTAGTTATAGATAGTCAAGGAACGCATATAGAGATATAACGTGTGTTGAACGATAGTTTAAAGACGTGCCAGAGCACACAGCAGCAGTTGCAAGCATTCAATGACTTTAGCAAAGCACGGTACCAGAACATTAACAAGCACTTTGAGACGCATACGGCCATGTTGAAAGAGATGAAACGTGATATGGATAGCGTGTTTAAAAAGTTAAGGTATGAAAGCAAAGGATGGGTGTTTACATGTAGATGAGTGTTAATGGGACACATATCATTTTCTATAGAAAGATCAAGCATCAATTAGAGCTAAAGTATCCTAATGAGATGGAAAAAGTGAAGCAGAGATACCCTCCACCTATTGTACCCGAAGAAGATGATTGAGAGAATAAAATCATGCAATTGACACCCGAGGCGAGCAGTAGATCCAAGCCACGAAGATCTTGTTTTTTATGTCAGTTCATCCGCTCCATTGGATTGGGAGCGCCATCATCCCCGCATTCATTCCCTTTCACTTTCTCTTCTTCTTTAACAACCATGTCGCACGATAAGTATCAGTCGCCGTTGACTTCGCGTTATGCCTCCAAGGAGATGGCTTACAACTTCTCCGAAGACAAGCGTTACTCTACTTGGCGTAAACTTTGGCTCAACCTTGCTATCGCTGAACAACGCCTCGGTCTCACCGACATTACCGACAAGGCCATTGAGGAAATGCGCGCCAACATTGACAACATTGACTATGAAGTTGCTGCTGCCGAAGAAAAGAAGCGTCGTCACGACGTTATGGCTCACGTCCACGCCTTTGGTCAAGTGGCTCCTGCTGCAGCTGGTATCATTCACTTGGGTGCTACTTCTTGCTATGTCACTGGTAGGACACAATGACACACATACACACAAAAGAATGGGATGATTTATATTGGTGTATTTGTTAGACAATGGTGATTTGATCATTTTACGCGATGCATATGACATTGTCATCAGAAAGTTGGTGCACGTGATTGATATCTTGAGTCAATTTGCAAAGGCCTATCGCGACTTGCCTACCCTTGGCTTCACTCATTTCCAACCTGCTCAACTTGTCACTGTTGGCAAGCGTGCCACATTGTGGATCCAAGAACTCTTGTGGGATTTGCGTAACTTTGAACGTGCTCGTAACGATCTCAAACTCCGCGGTGTCAAGGGTACCACTGGTACTCAAGCTTCTTTTATGGCTCTTTTCAATGGTGATCATGACAAGGTATACATATACATATACATATCCTTATGGTGTCTTTCATTGACATGCTTTTTAGATCGAGCAATTGGATCAACTTGTGACCGAGCTCTCTGGTTTCAAGGAAGCCTATCCCGTCTGTGGTCAAACCTATTCCCGCAAGATCGACATTGATGTCCTTCATCCTTTGTCTGGCTTCGGTGCTACTGCTCACAAGATGGCCACTGATATCCGTCTCTTGGCCAACTTGAAGGAAATTGAGGAGCCCTTTGAAAAGGATCAAATCGGCAGCTCGGCTATGGCTTACAAGCGTAACCCTATGCGTTCGGAACGTGCTTGCTCTCTTTCTCGTCACTTGATGATGCTTGTCAACGATGCTCTTCAAACCAGCGCTGTCCAATGGCTCGAACGTACTCTCGATGATAGTGCCATTCGTCGTATTTCGCTTCCTGAAGCTTTCCTCACCACTGATATCTTGTTGACTTTGCTTCAAAACATTTGCGAAGGCATGGTGGTCTATCCCAAGGTCATTGAACGCCGCATCAAGCAAGAGTTGCCTTTCATGGCTACTGAAAACATCATCATGGCTATGGTCAAGAAGGGTGGTGATCGTCAAGAATGCCACGAACAAATCCGTGTCTTGTCGCACGAAGCTGCCCACGTTGTCAAAATGGAAGGTGGCGAAAACGATCTCATTGAACGTATCAAGAAGACCGAATACTTTAAGCCTATCTGGGATGAGGTATGTCTATACTACTACCATGGTCATTAACGTACCTACTAACTACTATCTATATAGCTTCCCAAGCTTTTGGATCCTTCCACCTTCATTGGTCGTGCTCCTGAGCAAGTTGACAACTTTATCACCAAGCATGTTGAGCCAGCTCTTGCTCCCTATAGCGATGTTCTCAAGGAACGTACCAAGGCTGAACTCTCTGTTTAAATCAGTAGATATCAACGCATTCTCTCTCTCTTCCTCACCACCAACACCACCATTCATCTCATGTTGTTTAAAATAAATGCATTTTTGTTGAAATTTATAAACGTGTATGCATGAAAAGGCGCAATTACTCCAAGCGTTTTGCTCTATATAACACAATGTAGGCGGTATGCCAATCACCTATTATCCCATGATGATGGTTAATCCCCTTTCATATACACCTGCTTCCATAACTCTCTTCCTTACCTCCACCATCCAAACGTTCAATGTCAGCGTCCTTGACTACTGAGACCTTGTCATCATCAAACTTGTGCCATTCATCTATGCCATGGATTAGAGATACTGCCCCCTTTTCTTGTTTGCATCCACACACTTACTTTCAGCCTTTTTAACCCATGCAATGTAGTGACCTGAATCAGCAGATCGACCCACGTGCGTCAAGACAGCACACAACTCGTATTGTCCAGTAGGATTGCCACCGACGTCTTTGAGGAGCTCTGGATCAATGAATTGGGACCAATCCACTTTTTCTTCATCTGTGTCCATAGCTGAAGGTGATGCTGACGATGATGATGCACCCGTCTCCATATCAATCTTGCGGCGTTTCTCTTCACGACGTTTGGCTTCCCTCTTATCCTCAATATCCTTGAGCTTGGACCTGGCTTTGCTGTACTTGGATTGTAATTCGGGTGTGCACAATTCAGTAGCGTCAAATTGAAGAGGGAATTTCACTTTGCGTAAAATCTTGGCTCGAATACGTTGCTCAGGCTTCCAAAAGAATCGAATGAATTGCACAGGCAAATATTGTGGCAAGCGACTCACACGAGACACACGCTCGTATTTGGCAGTACGATCCAATGTAGCCGAATTCTTTTCAATCTCTTCCGTAAGCGACTACAAAATCCCGTGTCAGTGCCCCTTGCTCTCAACAAGATGATCCTTTTTCATACTCACTTCTTTGATACCATTGACCATGTAATTGGTTGCTACATAGGAAAAGAAATCAATATCGTTTACTTTTGGTGAGATTGGTGCCACACACTTACTTCCAGAGATATGACAACCCAATTTGGAAAAAGGTTCACTGGTTACTACCTTCTCCTCTTCCGGTGCCTCAACGCATTTGAGCCTATATATACATTCGAGTCAGCGATGCATGATTTATACGCTACTACTACTACCCCTACTTACTCTGATGTCATTTGACCTGTCATGTACTGCTCGATAAAGTTTTGACCGGTTTTCTCGTCCTGGGGAAGCTTGGCCTTGAGTACAGAAACCATCTCGCTCCAGCATTCTTCAGCATCTTGTTGCATGGGGATACCACCTTGACCCGTTTGCGAGAATTGAGGGAATACTTGACGCAACATCTAATATCCAATTATCAACACGGGCCCTAACCCTTTAATTCTTGTTGTCATTTACCTGCCAAAACACGAGGGGTGGGAATCCATCACCGGCCTTGTTCAATTCCTTAAAGAGATCACGCAAACTGGCTGTAAGGTTGCCACGGTTATCCACACCAGAAATGCTGCCTTGGTAGCTATAGCATATATCACCCATAATGAATACAATATATCCAGTAGCACATCTCCAGCTATACCACCTACCTATTCAAATCAGCTTGAAGTTCAGGCATGGCGCGAAGACATTGAAGCGTTGAATTCTAATGATAAGAGTGAGAGAAAAGTACAGGTACACACACACATACATAAAGATCCTATACATACCATGTAACATGTGTTGCCAAGATTCTCCAAACCAGCAGGAATCTCAAGCTATACAATGTATAAATGAGTCACCCACAAAACGCGTGTATCGAACCCGCCCATCATCATTCATCCTTACCGCTTCAGCGACTTGAGCATCTGTCATATCTTCCAAGAACTGCGTAGGCTTCTCTGGGGGTTTGGGCAATTCACCAGCGGTACCCATCATCATAAACGTATGACCCTTCAAGCACGTCAATACCCTCGTTTCCTTGACTGGATCATACAATAGCAACTTACGTCCTTCAAGCCCAACTTGTTAAGATCAGTCGTTTCCTAAGAGCAACTCGTCATTAGCAACGCGCCAAGTTCCTCTCTCGTCCATTCCCTTACTTTGAGCATGCCGCCCTTGATCATGATCTTTTGTCGTTCAGGAGGAACACCTGTTTGAGAGTAGATCTGCGTCTTGAATACCTCGGGGCTTTCATCGGTGTCTATTCTCGCCACAAGGTCAACAACAAGAAGCTTGCATCGCATCGCCAAGTCAACTTACCAAGCTCCAAGTTTTCAAACTTTTTGCCACTCCATTTGACGTTTACGTTGACAATGGGCATGGTTGTAGTAGAAGTAAAGAAAAGGGGGGAAGGAGTTGGTGGTCCACAAAGGATGCCGCGTCATTAACTAATATGCCGCCGCTCGCAGCAACAGCGCAACCACGAATCCATTGGTGGACGGTGTTTTCCTTCTCCTCCTCGCTCCTCCATACATGTCAAGCTGTCAATGCAGCAGCCAAAAGAAACACTCATAGATAGTCCACATTACAACTTGCATACCAAAGTAAACAATTTGAGTATAAGCTGCCATATGACAGGTATTTAATCAATGGATGGGAACTTTTCATCGTGATTATTACAATCTTCTACGTTCGTATGAGATGGGGGAAAGATGTGTGGTGAGGTGCTGAATAAAGCTGGGAAGAAGGATATGTGCAATTGAAAGAAAAAAAAGTGTGTATAGTATGTGATGACCCCATATAGGGGAGAGAGAGAGAGAGCGATCATGGTTGCCTAGTAATAAGAAGCATGTAGATAACAAAGAAAGAACAATAAAAGAGAAATGTGCTTAAAATAGTGTACACTTGCTCATGGCTTGGTGCAATGAGGCTGTTCAGCATAATTAAGAACAACACCAACGAATTCATCCAAAATCCTTGTTTGTTCAACATAGCGTACTGCTGGCATGGGTTGATGAGGATGATGATCCATGGAAGCACTTGTAGTAGTAGTAGTAGGCGTTGTTGCAGCTGCTGCAGGATGTTCGGAATATGTGGCGTTGGGTGTAAACGACAAGAGTGAATGCATTGATGGTAAAGTATCCGTAGACATGTTTTGTGAAAGCCATTCCTCATCATCATCGGTGGTGGTTGTGGTGGTGCTAGTGGGTGATGGTGCCTTGTAGGAATCATTACTAGCAATGCTGCTTGCTGTGCTGGCACTACTCACACGGCGTTCACTACGCCAACTAGGGGATAAATGCGGCATAGTAGGTGACGTGGGTGAATCCAAAGACGAGGAGGCACGATAAAAGGATGGACGTTGTAGATCAATGGAAGGTAGTTCAATCTTTTGTTGAGGAGCACTATAGAATGGTAGATCGCTTGCGTGTTGGTGATGGTAATGATGATGCATGCGACGTCCACGACGTGGAAGTACAAGTTGAGGTTGATGATGATGATGATAATGCTGTTGTTGTTGTTCCTGACAAGAAATGGTGGTGGTGGTGGTGGTGGTGGTAGTAGTAGTACTGGCAGCATCGGGAGTTTCAGCTCTTTGCTCCAACATCATGCGACGTCCTAGCCGGCGAGCAATTTCGTCACGTACAAATTGTTGCTTTTCAGCTGAATCATGCTCTCCAAACTTTTGACGTGCAAGACGATAGACACGACATCGAAGATCGTTTTGCCGATTCTTTTCTCGATTTTCTGCACGCCACTTGCGCATCCTTCATACATACAAGCGTGAGAATCTGAATATGGATGGTGGCAATAATAGGATTCCTTACCTTTCTGTGGTCTCTTCTTTTGACACCACTTTTTTTGCATGCCCCTTCCATCGCTTTTGATCACGACTGCGGACATAAGGTATGTTGTGAATGTTGGGATTCTCCATGTGACGCTTGCTAAAATAATGAAAAAGAGTCGTCAATCGCCGCCACCTTGGGAGTAGTAGGAGTAGGGTTATATACACTTACAGATTGGACCGTGTTGCAAACACTAAAGATCATGATGATGGCTTCGTTAGTAAGATGAAAAAGATAATGAACAAGAGAATGATGCTTACTCTTTGGACACTGGGTACACGCAAAAATACGTGCAGAGGAAGCGGGTTCAAGAGGTACAGTCATTGTGATAAAGAAAGAAAGAAAAATGAAAAGAGGCAGTGAAAGAAAGAGTGCAATAAAAAGGGAAGTAAATTTTTTCATCTATCCATTTTATCACTGATGTGGTTATAAATACTCAAGTGACAAGTGGTAAATGATCTCTCTCGCGCTCTCTCACTCTCGTGCCCTGCAGCAAAAGCAGCAGCAGCAGCAGCAGCATACACAAACAGAGCAAGTTTTTCATAGGCACAAGCACAATCATGCATTATCATATATGGCATGGATTCGACACAAGAATCTTACTTGTCTTTCATTCTTTTGCTTTTCTCTCTATCTCCAACATTGTTCATTTTGGCGGGAAACACTCCTTCTTTCATGGTAGATGATTATGCGCATACTCTACACTCAAACCCCCTTGCGTTTCCGGTTAAAAGTGTGTGTGCACATGGACGTGGTGTGTGTGTGTGTGTGCACAATCCATGTAGAAGGGGATCATGATAATGGGGTAGAAATGGAAATCACAATACCCCCTTGGCCCCCCTTTCATGTTTTCTTTAGAGAGAGAGAGAAACGATGAAATATGGTTGTTTGGATTCCTCGCCTCCCACCCCCCAAAACCCGATAACACCCTTTTTTTTACACACACACCCTTTGCCGTTAGCCGTCCCCGTAGCACACCTATTCACACACACTCTCTCTCTCTCTCCCCCAAAGCCACTCTTGAATGTCACTATACAAGTGATCCCTGTGTAATTTGGGCCGGATTGCAATTTTTATTTATGTATGCCGCACTTCTCTGTTTATCTCTTGTTTATACCTTGACACATAACACGCATTCTATCACATTCAACATGGACCACATCATCGTGAGCCTTGATTGTGATGCCATTAATAGCGTGCCATGAGAATGAAAAGACGCGAGGATGATCGTCGTGAGAATGACATTACTACTACTACTACCGCCACTGACAGGAGCAGGGTATCACGTTTACTATGATACACGTCAGCAGCAACAACAACATTCCATGGAATAACACACATACGTAAATTAAAAAGCAAAAGGTATGGACCTGCAGCCATCACCAAATCACCAACAATGATGACTTTTGTTGTGTTTATGTTGTTATGTATGAGTCGTGTGTGCCTCATGCTCATTTGTCATCTCTACAAATAAATACCATACCACTACAACAATGCCTCATTGGCCGTATTCTTATTATCAGAAAGAGGGTCAGGTGGTCGTTGATGCTATTGTTAAGACATCATCCACATTGTAGAGCCCACCGCAGATTGCATGTACGTCCCATTCGGAAGGAGTCGGGATAGATTAAAAGTAACTTGTCACTCTTTATGCATAATCATCATCAAATTACTTTTTGAAAATGATCAAAATGATGTTTGTTGCAGTGGCGATCAACATACACATACACACACCACATCCTAACATGCATATGCACCCGTGATTTATAATACTCACACCAGCTGATGGTAAACAAAGCAAATGCCAATTACTGAATGCGTCGTCCCACAACAAGATCTCAAGCCTCATCCTTCCATTTTGCCTCATTCGTTGATCCTACAACAACATGATGTGTTTGCCAGCATTTGTGTTGTGTTAGGATCAGCTGATTTTGTTGCTGATGTTGGCTTACTGCATCATGTTGTTGTTGTTGCCACTCTGTGTGTGTCATCCTCAAGGGAAAATTGCCCTTCTTGTGGCTGTAACAAATAAGAAGCATAGTTGTTTGATATATGCAGCACCGTTCCACCAGTTATAATCCCGCTACTGCGAAGCGTCATGATAAGGGGGTCATTTCATTCCAACCAAAAGAAACCACACGATTCATTGGAAACGTTTTTGAGGATGCATAAGCTGCAACATGTACTTGCATTAGTGCTATATAAGCTTGGCAAATGCAGGATGCAACAAGCAGTAGTAGGAAGCTGCTGCATCATCCTTGGGCTAATCAACATCCATCGACAAGGGGAGAAGCTTGAAAAACGCCAAGGGAGTATGCATTTTTATTCATGTGCTGTTACGTTGTAGATTAACCATACATCATATCTCTAGCCTCTTCTTCTTCTTCCTGCTTGACTTTTTCTTCCGTTTCCACCTCGAATCGGCATAATGGGCATGTATTGTGTAATTGCAACCAAGGCACCAAACATTCTCGATCGAAAAAATGGCCACTAAACCCATCATCAGTCATCCACATAGATTGAAAAGGTGTCGTGTATTTACCATGGCATCTTAGTCACTGGTTGGTCGGATGTCTTTAGATTATCCTTGCAAATGATGCATGTCTCTTCACTATATAGATCCATTGTTATGATCGACTTTGATGCCATCAGACCACTTTTTCTTTACCTATCCAATTGATGTGCCTTGATGCCAGGGAGGGATCGAATAAAGCGTTCGGATGCAGGAGGCGGGCCCTTTGCTTGGCTTTGAGATTCTTCCAATAATTGGGATACCAAGTTATCCAAAAACTGCTCTTGATCATGGTTGCCCACTGCTTGCATTTGCTCTCTAAACTGACTCAGAAAACTTCCAACATCCCATAAGTACCTATACTCTCTTTAATGGATAAAGAAGGTTCCCTTACTTTGCCGTTTGTAACAATTGCTGCAAGTTGTGTGCGGGATCGACATGACGACGACTGTTGCCGTGGTCACCGTTGCCACGTAATGGAGTAGGTGTCATGAAGTCGTCAAGGTCCACATTACGAGTCTCACGATTGGATCGATTGTTGTTGACTGCAATGTTTAGGTCCTCTGCAAGAAAAGAGTTGGCATAAAAGAGTGTGTACAAATCCAACAAAGAGGCACCTACCAAAATAGCTGGCCATGATTAGAAAAAAAAAAAGATGACTCCTCCACTCGCTTGATTCACTTGACGGACACTCTTTATGCATACGCAATCCAAAGTGACACGCACGTGCCTGAAATAGTACACAATGACACGCAAGTGCCTTTTGCTTGTATTGGTAATCGGTAGCTATAGCTTCATATTATAATAAAAATGGGCATGGATGTCCTATTATCAAACCAATTGGCTCAACTATTTGGCAAGGTAGCCTATATCTCGATAGCGGTTCTTAGCTACGTAATGGATCAACGCTCAAGGACGAAAGCTGATTCATACGACGTGCGCTCGAAATCTTAACTATCACGTGGATCGCTATTAGCTGTTTTCCAAGGTGACACATAAAGTACGTTGATGGTTACCAACCATGCTTGATGCAAAGGTTGTTCCAGTAGCTAATACGCAATCGAGTAAGGTAAAATGTGCATCTAATTGTTGTACTGGCAACAACGAGTAACCCGCTGAACCTAACCTATTTGATACCCAATCAAATGATGCCTTACTCCCTCTAGCCAAGTTTTACAGATACCGCTCGTCTGCCCAATAATGTTACAAGTTGCAATCCATCACCTCCACGATGAGGCATTGGAATAAGATGCTTCGTGAGTATGCATGAGAGAAATCTATTAAATGGTGACACGTGGTAGAATGTAAAGTTGAGCATTTCAATGATGAAAGAAGGTATATGGCCATCCCAATTGCAGTTAAGACTTTTTGGCTGACATGATGTCTCACGGCAATACGGAAGATACCGACTATAATAATTTCAGGGTATTGAATACTTTTTGCATCATGAGCCATTACTACTACTTTATTGTATAGGACGAAACATGCTATGTTCAAAATAACCGGCCTATCTCGATCCATATCTCGTCATGTCATTGCAAGAGCGGATATAAAGTCGATCAATGGGATGATCGTCAAAGCTTGTGAAACAATGGGCGATCGTTTTGCTGGGTAGACAAAGTGCACTAAATCTGGTTCAGGACATCCCTTAACCTTTTCTGTTTCTTTACTTATTGTCCCCTCCCTCCCTCGCTCCTTTCCACCCAATTCACAATGAACAAGCCATCTATAGCTGCATTCTGTTCAAGGAAAGCTATATCCATATTCATCACAAGCTTGATTGCGCTATCTCTTTTATTCCTCTATTCGGCGTCGATCCGGGATTCCTCAAATCAACTTTGGAGTGCAACAAGTCTATCGACAGCAGACAACAGCCATCCACCATCATCATGCATCGCCGATTCCGGCCAGCAGCATCGTGCCAAAGTGGATAAATACACTTGGGACCAGTGTCTAGACAACAGCCCCGAAGCACCAGCTTACTACTTATCCATTGTCATTGTCACTCGTATGGATGATTACGCCGGGTAAAGGATATATAAAAAGTAGGGTGCACGCACTATGAGGATACTAACCTTGTATCCTATGTGTGTAGCAATCAACATCATCGTTTCCAAAACTTCATTGATAGTGCATACCTGCTTGCCGAGCGTACACAAACCAAGATGGAATTGTTAGTGGTGGAGTGGAATCCTCCTGATGATCGAAGACGTGTATTGGATTCATTTGTAAGTATCGTGATGCATTGGGACACACGCACACACGCACACACAAGGATTGACATTTTCCCCCTTTGTTATAGAGATTCCGCCGATCACAATATTTGACGTATCGCATCATCACTGTTCCTCCTGGTATCCATCAAGCACTCCCCAACCGAGGCAACTCACCATTGCACGAATTCGAAGGAAAGAATGTTGGTATTCGATTTGCTCGTGGCGAATTCATTGTCTGTACAAACCAAGGTTAGTAAAGTGGTGGGTGGTGGTAGCCATTGGCAAAACGGAAATTGGGCATTGGAGCTAAAAAGTTACACTTGGATAGATGATATCTGGTCCCATAATTTCCATAATGCCGTCAAATCAAGAGCTTTCGAAAAGAATGTAATCTATCTTCAACATCAAGACCATCACAATATGTAAGTAATCATATCATCACCTAACAATGAGGATCCATGGATGTTGACAACCTCTTTTAGCCATGACAATTTGCCTCCATCCATTGTAAATCTTCCAGCATTTGCCGATGATGATACATTATACAACGCATGTCGTCTTGGTGACCAAGATTGGGGCAATTACAAGCTGCCAGCACCTTTGAATTTAACAACAAGCAACATCCTCGATACAGCTGATCAAGCTGGTGACTTCACTATGGCGCATCGTGATACCTGGAAGGTGCCTCGAGGATATCGTGAACAGGGTGGCGTTGCTTGGTAAGGACACACATGCACAAATGAGGAATGGATGGTGACTGATTGACAACAACAATCATAGGATGGATATTGAATTCATTTGCACTGCGGCGTGGACGTTTGATATCCCGGTGGTATGGGAAGAACGAGGCTTCACGTGCCATCAAGACCATCCCAACATTTGGGAATTCAACACTGATCAGCACAACGATAACAAGGATATTGATATGGGCGAGATCATGCGTAAAGAAAAAGTCTATATGAATCAAGAGGGCCAATGGGGTCTGCAGCAATTGGACATTTGGAACTATAATTTAGAATGCATCGAGTTCCATGGTGGTCTTTGCTGGTAAATAAACAACGCTTGCATTTTTAAAACACCTACTGCATAAATGAAGCCAAGTGAGAAAAAAAAAGAAGCTCATTGCTACACACAATGATCTCAGATGTGCTCTTTTTTCCGATTTGCCCATATGCCAACGTTACGTGTGTGTGGGGATAAAATGCAACATGTCTCACGTTATCATCAACGGTTACACAAAGACACGCATGGGGATGATGTGCTGCTGCTGCTGCTGCTATTGCTGTTATGCTCTTTTAGTAACTCCAAATACACTTTCTCCACATTCGGCGGCATTCCAGAAATCTGGCTATTGACATGTTGACATGTTTTTTTAAAGAAAAGGATAGCTCTTGCGGCTGGGGTGAATAGGGGTGGAATGCATGTTGTGACCAACGTGGTTTTCCTTTGGTTCCAACATTCCCAAACAATGCGATCCTTTACTTCTACAAATGGATGACACACACGACCGTTTGGTTCACACGGCTTTGACGGTGCGCTTGATTAGGCTTCTCGATATTCCCGGGAGAAGCTCCCCAAATGGCAGTGCCTCCGGCCACAAAAATGATCTCCGCACACACATGGACACATCCAATTCAACCACGCATGGCATCCACCATGCTCTAATGAATGTACATAGGTTAAAGTAGTGGTAGTAGTGTACATTACGATAAAAGAAGAACCCCAAAAAAGACATATATGCCTTATAGGATATCATTAAAAAGTGATTTTATGGACCATGTACACAAAAAGCAAACCAAACGCCTCCTCAATTACGTTTTGTAAATGGATCAAGGCACAAACAGACACTTTTTTGGGTACCAAGTGATACAAAGAAGTGATCAGGTAAGCGGGTACTCCCATATACCCTTTGTGGTACTCGCGAGAACGAGTGGTATCCGAAAAATCTCATGGTCGTCATCTGTCACTGACCTTTGATTATCTTTGGTTAAGCGTGTCCTAAGAACACCACTATTTACCTTTGACAAGCTTTCATGGCACACAGGATTGTTTTTCTTGGACTTCTCTCAATGCTGTAACAATACCAGCCAGATGATGATGAGAGCGCGCAGTAGTATTCCCACCATCTGTGCTGGTTGTCATCCATATATGGGAGGATGCGGCTCATTGTGGGTGGGCACGGATCCAATCAAGCACAGAACAACGAGTTGCTCATAGCCCCGCGATGACCAAAATTGGGACATGAAAAAAAACACCAGCAAGATGAGGACATGTAACATTCATTGTGTGTATATAAATACAGCGATTTTCACTTTTTTCATTTTCTTTCCCCTCATACTATCTATCTTTTTCATCTAATGGCAACATCAGAGCATCATCAAGATATTGAATCCAAGGTCGTTGCTGCTCCTCCACCACCCCCTCCGGTGACGGTGAGCAATCCAACCATTGCCAATCCTGGTCCTCTTGGTCTCAGCTCCTTTGCTTTGACCACATTCGTGCTTTCCTTACATAATGCGAGTGCTGGTATGCCAAATGGATCTCCTAGCAACGTTGTTGTTGGCCTTGCCTTCTTTTATGGTGGTCTAGTACAGGTATACTTTAAGGGTAGATGCTTGTTGTTGTCGTTGATCTTGAATTTTAATCATGAATTGAAATATGTACGATGATGATGATGATAGCTGCTCGCTGGTATGTGGGAGTTCCGTACAGGCAATACATTTGGTGCTACAGCCTTTTCGAGTTATGGCGGCTTCTGGTTATCGTATGCCATCATGTTCATTCCTGGTGCCAATATCCAAGGAGCTTACGCTGATTACCCTGGCTTGCTTGAACATTCATTGGGCATCTACTTGACATCATGGGCTATCTTTACTGCCTTGCTTTTGATTGCTTGCCACCGTTCTACCGTTGGCTTGGTGACGTTGTTCTTTTCCCTTACCATCACATTCATCCTGTTGGCAGCCGCTGATTTCAACGAAAGTGCTACCACCAAGGTAGCTGGAGGTGCCTTTGGTGTTGTCACAGCTATCATCGCTTGGTATAATGCATTGGCTGGCTTATTGACCAAGGAATCCTCCTACTTTACCTTGCCAGTTGGTCACTTGTCGTAAACGAGAAACAGCTACCCATTTTCTGTTTTTTCCTTCTTCTTTTTCTTTTTACTCCTTATAGCATTGTTGTATCCACCTTTTTTCTATATCATAATGATCGCTCTTCTTCTACTTGTATCTTACCCAACAAACCCCCCCTGTTGTGTTCAACAACTTAATAAGCGCAAGTACCTTTTTTCTCTTTAAACCATTGTGTGAGTAATCCTTTGTGTAATGGTGATCCGAACAAATGTTTCTTTGGACCACAATACGAAATACAACAACAAGCGGGCTAAGACGGATGTAGTCAACCCGTCATGCGTGACACGATAATGACTAAAATGGATGTATCGGCTGCATAGCACAAGAAAATCAGGTACATTCTTAGCAATGTTGGTAGCACCTGGATATTTCTTTGCATTTCTTTGCCAAACGGGCTTGTGTGTACTACCTATCGTGGTCTATTTTTCGGCGCAAATTTGTTCGTATTCATCCCTAAATGGCGGCAACATTCCGATTCGTAAAGAAGGCTTATGTTCTCCTCCTTTGATCTTGTGTACTGTTTTCTACCACCGTCATGTGGTCAATTCAACGTTGGATGAGAATAGAAAAGAGAGAAAGAAAAAATCTCCTCAACATTGGATGCATTGGCCAAATGTGAAGTTACACTGCAGGGTCGTCATCACCATCATCATTGCAACCATCACTTTTTACCTCGCTTTAAGCAACAAAACGTTTTTGCTTTTCCGCCATCAGTATTATCCTTTGTCTATTTCTTCCTATCCAAGGCCCCCTCGAAACACGTGTAATGTCGTAAAGTCAAGTGTAGTAAAAGTAGACACTTTGCTGATCGCCCCTGCAGCAGCTCACAAAAGAATCCTGATATAACGACAATCAACAAGCAGTAGTAGTAAGTGGATCATCTCTCTTCCTCCTTTACCCCCCCCCCACCACCTCCCCTGGATTGGGTGGGTCTAGACACACTAACAGGAGACACACGACACGACATCATCAGTTGTGTGTATGATGAAAATTGATCCGACGACGACTAAAGGCGGTTGGCACCGGCATCTTGCCTAAAATGGAAGCATCCATCCTCCACCACTTGTATCATGGTATCATTTGATTCACGATTGAAAGATGAGGTATTATTGATAACTAGGTTTACGTCAAGCGTAAAGTAGAAATGACGACGATGCATGAAGTTTCTAGAAACGATTGGTTGAAAGGATATGTATTGGATTCAAGGTTGCACAATGGTAGATTTTCATTCATGCAAAAAGGTAAGGATGGAGTTCCAGGTACAGTATTATGCTAGAGTAAAGGCTATATACAAGCTCGGGAATATGGTATAATTATCATGGGTTTTAGACCTGGGCACTTGTCATGCTTTGGTTTCAGGTTGAAATGGCACACGCGCAGCTACCACACAAACAACAATTTCTTTGTTTCTTTCCATTTTACCACCTTCTTTCTTTTTACCCAACGCCCCGTTTTCCCCCAACAACATGAGCTTCACAAGTTACAGTCGATATGAAGAACACGATGGCGATGGCAATTCCTATTCACACAGCAGCATTGTGGTTCACGAATTGACCGATGGGGAGACCAATGCACTTCTTGCCAATGAACACGTCAGCACTCCCAGCCTATCACCGAGCATGTTACAAGCTCCTCAGCCTGATTATGAGATTGAAAGCGGTTCATCAGAAGCAGAATACGATAGCGACTTTATCTTTACCGATGATGATGATAGCGATGAATGGGACATGGATCATTGGTTTCCTTCACTCTTTCGCAAGTCCATTATTGAGTATCTGGAGGAGGACGATGAAGACGCTGTGATGCTGGACCATCCATTTGATATCCTATCCTCGAATGAAGTGGCCGAAATTGAAGAAGCCCATGATGATGATGATGAACAACCAATAAGATCGGGAGGAAGACATCATCAACAAAGTACAACAACAACATCATCCCCGCGTAAACGATCCAAGCATAGACATCATCGTCATAAGAGGAACCACCATCACCATGACGACGACGACGATAATGAACAACAACCAACCGATGATACACCCGTTCCAGTAGTTGTCCACATTGTGATGTAGAGTATAATAAAAGCTTAGTGTTACGTATACACGTAAATGGTGCATGATGATGTCGATAATGATGGCGTGTGGATGAGTGGATGGGTACACAAGCACACATGCATACACGCACACACACACAGACATTTTACTAAGGTTGTATATATCACTTTTTGCTCTTGTCTCCTTTGTGATATCCGTAAGTGGAAGCTTCCTTTGATTCTTTTCTGGGCTACTGGACTGCAGGGTGAGGAATTCGTTTTTTATATAGAAACACAAGGAGCAAAAACAAAAGAGAATGAATATGGGTGGGTGGTGGTGATGGTTGCAAATAGATAGATAGGAGGAGGAGTTCAAGTCTTTGGACTGCTGCCTTTGTGTGGAGTTGCAAGTGGAGTGTTACGGATGGAGAGGTACAGGCTCAATAAAGTCAAAGGTGCATGTGGAAAGAGTGTCAATGGTGCGTCGAGCGCTTAAAGATCGACCGCATACAGGGCTGTCAAGCGATATTCTAAAAATACAAAAAGTTTTATTCTAACAAGAGCATCAGGGCAGAAAAGAATGAAGGAGGTTGCCACAAAAAGAACTGCAAAAGTTATCTCTACACGAGTTTTTGGATCGCTCATGAATGCTTTGCCCTATTAATAGCAGAGTGTGTGTCACCAACTCCGAATTAGACACCTATCACACATAGGATGATCGCTTTGTGTGTCATGACAATGAACCAGAGCGCTACGACGGGAGAAAGGGTCGAGCCTTTACACACCTTTATCCGACCCTTTATTGCTGTTGTTACCATGCGGATCGACGGACATTTTCTTCATAAACACATGGTCGATCTTCCTCTTTTTGATGTTCCGAGAAAAGAAACAATGGGCTCTCTCTCTCTCTCTCATGTCTATCTACTATGCCGCTCACTCCTCTTAAAATATAAATACGCAAAGACATCATCCTGGCCATTTTTTATTATCATCATCATTCTCTCTTTCTCTCTCTTTTTTTTTCTTCTTTCTTTTTTCATCCACCTTCTTTTCATTCTTCTTTCTCCTCCGTAGTACCAGCAATCGCTTTGTCGATGTTTCAGTATTTGGTGGATATGGCGTTGAAGCAGCAGCAGCAGTCAACAAAAGACGACGACCATCATCATCATCATCAACATGCTTCGAATCCACGTTGCTGCAACAGCTGCCGCCAAACTACCTCATCCACCACGCCATTGTCCACTCGACGCGCATCCATCAAAACCACCTCCACGGTCACTTTGCAAGTCAACAACAGCAATGACGACTGGCACACCGATAAGCCTTGTTGGTCCTTCAAAGACGATTACGTCTCATTCCCAAGCTTGGATCGATTTGACATGATCGATTCAACTACGGCTGATGATCATCATCATTAAGCCTTGTACATTTCTTTCATTGCCAGCATCATCCTGTCAGCTACTGCTACTACTACTCAAACTGCTACTACTACTACAACAACAACCATTTTCTCTTCCCTGGCAAACCTTGAATGATGAATGATTCCACCCCATTCCTTTTGAAATTTGATGGCGACGATCCCTTTCCTCTCGTTTACTCTTTTCTCTCTCTCTCTTTGTGTGTCTCTTTTATATTTTCGTTCTCGTTTTGTAACCCAAACCCACCACCCTTCATCCCTTTCTCTGTGTCTTATGTCATTTTTACTTCTTGTCGGTCTCTTCTATCATATGTCGAAAGAGAATACCTATGCCCTTTTTTCTTTTCTGTCGTCCAACAAAAACCTGACAGTGAATAAACATTACCCGGAAAAAAACCAAATACCAAGCATATACATACAATGCAAGATCATGTCGTGGCAAAAAAGTTTAATGAATTTGAGTAACAGGGCCACAGTGCATATAAGCACACATACACGGTTTGTGTAACTTGCTTGTCACAAGATAAGCAAATTCCATGTGCGGTGAGTGGGACACACACGCAATGGGGGAGAGAGCCTAACATCCAACAATGTGCAAAGTGTAAAGCGACGACGACGCCTTTGTATTCATGCCTACAATGAGCATCAACCCCTCTTGTCAAAACAATAGCACCATCAGCTGATAGAGATTATAACAAACATGCACATTACACATGTTCCCATGATGTAGGTGCGATCCCCTTGTGCCATGTACCATATACAGAGAGCAAACTTGCAGGTGTTGTGCTACCTGTAGTCTGCGGGGACCAAGTGGGTTGCACATGTGACTCGACAAAACAGGTGATCACCATCTGGGCAAATGCATTATATGTCAATGAAGGTTGTTTTTTGCTTAAAAAACATTTGTAAGGATCATCATACAAGAAAAACATAATGTAACTGGAACCGTAGATAAAAAGAAAAAGAAAACTAAACAGGCAGGAATGCTTGCTACTACTTTAGCAAACAAAAAGAATTATAAAGGAAAAGTTGCAGTTCCAAGGGAACGATGGGGTCCAGCCTGTTCATCATGCGTTTGATAAGAAACTAGGATATGGGATGTGGTGGGGGTTGGGTAAATAAGAAAAGCGAGGGTATATCTTGTTGAAATAAAAAGAGGCTGCTTTTGTGTGTGGGTGTGTGCTGGAATGATTGGGTTTGATGTTTGTGTGTGCTGATGGATAATAAAAAAGGATGGTGAAGGTGGTGGCTGCTCATGGGGGAGAGACTTTTTTTTGGGTGGGCTTGCTTTCTTTCTATGCAGGTGGCAGGACATGATTGATGAAACGAGCTGTTTCACCAATGCTGGCACATTTCAGCAGTCGATTTTGCACATGCGCGTCAATCTCCGCCAACACCTCCTTGGCTGTGGGACGAGTTTGTGGAGCTTCATCCAAGAGCCATGCCACAAGACCACGCATGTACATGGTGGGATAGCTGTAGGTAAATGTAGGGCTGGGTTCACTAAGGATGGAAGCAAACAATTCAATCTCATCCTTGATAAGATAATGAGGTGGCACGCGATCCATCATTTCAATCACGGTGATGCCGAGGGACCACATGTCGATCTTTTCGTCGTAATATTGTTCTCGAATCACTTCAGGTGCCATCCATTTGCTGGTGCCAAGACGTTCCCTGTTGCGTCGATTGGTACGAGTAGCCAATCCAAAATCAGCTGTTGTATCATAACACAACGTGTGTGTGTGAGTCATGGTGGTATAAAAAGTAGTTGTTGGAATTTTTGGTGGTACCAAACTTACCAAGCTTGACCTCGCCATTCCAACCCAGCAACAAGTTCTCGCATTTAATATCACGATGAATGAATCCTTTGCCATGCAAATAAACCAGTGCCTTGAGTGTCTCGCAAGTAATATAAATGGCATATTCTTCAGGAATGCCTCGCTGACAAAGCACGGCAAATACAGAGCACCGTTGAAGATCCATCGCCATCCAAACATCATCACGCCAGAGTGACACTTCGCGGAGTCGAATCAAGTTGCTATGGCCGGAAGCCATGATCCGAAGCTCACGTACAATAGCTGATCGGTATTCACGATCGGGATCAAGCCGACACCTTTTAATAGCCAACAAGAGGTTCTTTTTGTAACGATGACCAGCACGTACCACCGATCCATTGACTCTAAAAAAGACATCATGCGTTGTGTGAGTGGTGTGATGTATGCGATGCGATAACGACAAGAGAGAGAGTGTGTGTGTGTACGTGTGCGTGTGTATATGGCGGATATTGGAATATAAGCTTTAAGGTTTCTTTTTCCTTTTCCTTACCCTGTGCCTATTTCCTTGAAGTTGCCGTACTTGTTGCGTGGATCAAGAGAAGAGACTTGCACCTTGGGCAACGCTTTACGAATTCTCCGCTCAAATTCATTTTCGGTACGAGCAAGAGGCGGTAATTGAGGAATCTCGGAATGTGGCCCGACAGACAACCAAGGCTTTTTAGAAATGTGCTTTCCTGGTGTATAGGGACGCAAGCTATAGGTCTTTGCAGCTGATGCCATGGGCTCAGGCTTCAAGAAAGCATTACCAAGGATATTAGGAATCTCGTAGAATCCTGGTGGACGCCACACCTCCTTCATTGCAAAACAAAAAATAAAAATTTAGCCATGTGATGAACGAAAACAACAACAACAACAACATTTACCTTGCCAATGCCTCCTTGAGAAGTAATCGATTTGCTGGATGAGTCCAAGAATGAGCCACGTCGCAAGCAACCGGTGGATCGACGCTTCATCGTCATGTCAATAGTCATCATGTCGGATGGCTTTCGCATAGCTGCAGCCGATGCAGATCGTGCACGTTGGTTGGGAGTGGTGGTGGTAAGCGATTTGCTCTTTCTCAAGTTGCTGAATGAGGATCGTTTGTTTCCAAGCAAGCCTGGCGATCGCTACATAATCAATCAATCCATACATTAGAATGAAGGATAAGGAACCATGTTATCTACAAGGATCATCAACGTACCCTGTTGTGGTTTTCTTTCGATTGGAGCATTGCTTTCGTATCAGCTTGCTGTTGTTGAGAATAAGCTGGCATACAATGGAGCATCTTGGATACAGCAATGTGCGTGTGTGTTGTATAGCAACGTAAACAAGATGGATGAAAAATGAAAAAGAAGTCAGAAAATCTCAAATGCAACAAAGAAATGAGGGAGACAAGTTATATATGTATGCAGCGGGCTGAGATGAAGAGAACAGGTGACCTATTTTGTGGTTATAAGCCGCCGCATACATGGTTCGCATTTATGTGAGTAACACCCGGTAGTGCATTTTACTCGTTACTTTTTACTTGCCGACGCTCGTTGGTGTGCTGGATACGATATACAAGCGCTTTGTAAAGTTCGCATTGATGGCTTTCCTGCTTTATGGATGATTCCATGCATATACCCATTCTCATATAATAATAGATGCCACTACCATGTACGTATACAACAACATAACAACAACAACCAACTTGCTACTCTTTCACCCCCTTTCCCCTCCCGTCTCAAGTTCCATAGTAGTGAGAACCTTAATGTGTTGTACAACATGTTCACATTTGTGTATTTCGTGATACTACTAGATATCGTTCAAATCTCGCTTGACAGGGGCTCGAGGGAATGGATGCAATTTGGGTACTGTGTGTCCAAAAACAGACTCATCGTGGTGAGCAGGAGGAGAGCTATCTTGCCAACGGGTGTCTTTGCTTGAATTGTCGTCTTTGCTTTGTTGGTGTTTGAGCATTTCTTCCATATCTTCATCACCTTGCTCTTCCATCAAGTTGCTTGTGTCAACTGTTCCATAGGCTGTGGTGTGAAGTTCAGGATGTTCACGAGCGTCTTTGGAATGATCCCAGGCATCTTCACCGCCATGAGCTGGATGATGGGGTGGTTGCCATGGAGCTGGGTGGATGATGAATATATAAATTGGGAGTATGATCCGTGAATCCTATTTACCATTTCGATTGGGTGGGCTTGCCGTATAATCTGCTTGCATATTTGCATGCGACATATTTCCAAGAGAGAAGAGTGGAAAAAAGAGCACTATTCATGCATACGTCAACTTGAATCCGATTTTTCATTTTCCCCCAACACACTCACACACACATTCATTCACACACACACACGCACGTAAACCCCTGCTATATCCATATTCAGATACATCCGATGGTTTATTTCTTGAAGAAGCCTTTCATCTTGCCCATAACACCACCGCCTTCATCATCATTGCCTTGGCCCTTCTTGACATCCTCCAAGCTGTTTTGAATCTCGGCAATCGTTTGCATATCAAGCTGAATCCCAGCAGCCTGCATTTCTTGTGCCAACTTTTGCACGGATGCCTTGATCTACATGAACATGATGAATGTTTATCCTTGTCCCCCAACAACAACAACAAACCCCCATGCATATAAAACGTACCTCAGGATCATTCATGATTTTCATCATCTAAAAAGTCCCATTCTTGAGTTAAACAAGACACTACAATCTCTTTGCCATTCCTACCTCTGAAAAACCAGGCTGCTTTCCTTGAACATCAATACCCTTTTTCTGTAAAAGCATAGTAAACTCGGCAAGTTGCTCCATCACTTTGGGGTTGGCACCGATCTTTTGCATGACAGGGTGGGACGATGCTGACTGGAATGGATCAGAAGCGGAAGCAGCGAAACGCGAGCTGGCATGGAAGCTGGCTGCCATCATTCGAGGACGATGGGTCTGCATGCGGGCTGCTGCCAAGGCACCATGGCGTACACTGGCACGTTGCAAAAGTGTTGTGGAGACTCGCGTGAACATGATAAAGAAAGAGTGTCGATGGCTGAGTATCAAAATCAAGCATGGCTACCCTCCTCACACGTGACTTTACACGACCAGGGGTGGTGGATGGGGAATGCAAAAGGTGGTGGGTTGTCTTTATTCTAACGGTTGAGGTAGATAGGGGCTATAGTAGGAAGTATGGTTGTATCATGGCAATGGTTGCTAAAGCGATTATAATATAGCTACATAGTTTCCTAGATTATACATATTAGGCACACACAGCGATATACAAATAAATATGCATGAAAGATATGACTTTTTACCTGGGAAGATGCCTGTTGCTCCTGTTCTGCATAATTTTCCAGTCCACCAATCATTTTGGTCCTCAGTGCGTTGAATCACCTCAATCTTGTCATCCTTTTGGAAAACTAAATCACCTTCAGTCTGGGAATCGTAATCATAAAGTGCCATCACATAGAGCGTGTTGTTGTTGCTTCGTGGTGCTGGTACAGGAGTGGGTGGCGAATTAGGTGTTGTATACGATGGTGCTGCTGCTGCTGCTGCAGGAGGAGGTTGATATGAATGATGATAATCAGCTGATGGTGCCATTGTCTTTTCTTGTGGGAAACCATTCTCTGTTTGCGCTGCTGCATACGCTTCTTCTTCCTTTCGCAAAGCGGCCCGTTCCTTAAGCGTCAATTTGGAACTATTGGCACCACCCGATACTAATCCACAAAACTTGTCAACCTCTCTTGACTTTTATATACGCGCTCTCTCTCTCTCTCTTACATACCTTTGAGCCATGCCTTGCCTCCCGATTTTAATAGATCCAAGCTCTCCATTTCCATTTGCATATCCCTTTGAGACTTGTGCCAGTTGTATCCATCTTGCAATGGCATCGCGTGTGTAACAAAATGATTCACATTGGCATTCACCAATTCATAGCAACGAGCATAGATCATGCCATAAATCTTGCATTGCATGTTGTAAAAGTGCTCCAATAAAGGCTCGATCAGCATGGCTTTGAGATGGAAGAAACGTGGTAATTCGGCTTTGAGCATGTCATTGAGATAATTGTAGTCCTCGGTTGCCTTCTCTAACGATTGCTCCACCTAATGATCCTTTAGCATTCACCCAATCCAATATCCACACAAACGGCTTTACCTTATACAATTGCTTTTCTTCGTTGAAGGATCGTTCAGTTTTGGCTTTGAGCTTGTTTGAAGAAGCCCTGTGTCGATCATAATCAATCATTTTGTGGTTCCTTTTGGTGATGGTCTTTTGAATGGTCTTTATGATTTCCTTCAATTCGAGCATAGGGCGCACCACGGTATGATCAAGGAGATCCTGTATTGCATCTATTAGCCCATCGTTTTTGCAAAATGCCACGTGCATGAACATGTCACTTGCCAATTCAGGTAAAACCTCGTCTCGGCAATAGGCCATTGCCGCTTCAGCATCATTGGCCGCTTGTACTGCTGCTGCTGGTGTCTGTTGCACACGCTTCTGAATACCCCCTTGTTCGATACCAAGATGTGTGTCGTATATAACTGTCAAAAAGGATGCCATCTTCGCTTGATGACCCAGTAAAGCTAAGCATGCAAAGAAAAAAGCAAAGTTTAAACTCCATCCTCATCATCCTCTCTTTATCAGCACTCTCGCAGCTTGCCCTTGTTTTACCTGCAATTGCATCGCGAAATGCTTGGATATCTTTTTGAAACTGGTCCACAATCTTTGTCAGGTCCGTAAATCGTTTCTCTTGAGCCATGAATTCGGTATCTCGGGTCACTATAGCAATTGAAGTGAGCCATGTAAATAAAACAAAGGTGCTGTCGTCTATACCTTCGGCCTTCTTTGACATAATCTGGTGAGGTAAACGGCTCACCGCCTTTTGAAAACCCTATCCGTGTTTCGTGTGTGCTGCTTTAGCCCTGGTTGACATTTACAATTCATAAAGAAATGAGAAGTCATTGTCTACCTTCCAACTCATTGAGAATAGTGTTGGGTAGAAAAGTATAGAAAGAGAAAAGAAAAAGAACGTGTGGGTGCGTGTGGGTGTGTGTGTGCCGTTCTACAAGATGCCCTCCGACAAGAGAGAGAGAAAAAACAGGGCGGCGGCGCGAGAGTTGAGTTGTCGGGAAAAGAAGCTGTTACTTGCTGAGCAAATGAAAAAGAATACACGATTATTCCGCTGACACACATTGGCCCTTCTGTGTTGATAATAGCAACTGGTCTGTGTGTATGGTTTTAGTTGCATAGGGTATAGTACGTGTGTGATTGATTATGTTATCTTTGAATTTTGCTTTCAATGCTACTACCAGGAACCTTGTATACTCGGCTTTTTCTTTTCCGAATGAACCAATCGGTCTCTTTTTCGCCCCTTCCTCCTCCCACTCCCTCCCATTACGGCCCGTCATAAGGGTAACCACTATCATTCCAGAAAAAAGCAAACCCAGCAATGCATTGTGTAACACAAGAGACAATAAGCCATTTATGATAATACGGATCCTTCACGAATGGACCTTCTAATTCTATCCGCCATCATTTTATCCTTGCGTCCTATTAAGGATGTCGCCTTGCCTGTTCTTCCAGCTCTTGCCGTACGACCCACTCGATGTAAATAATCCACCACGGATGAAGGAAAGTCATAGAGAACCACATGATCCACAAAGGTTGTATCAATGCCACGTGAAGCGATGTCTGTGCTGATAAGAACATTATCACCTGGTAACCCACTCTCATCTTGGCAAGCAAATCGGTTTAGAATCTCGCTACGTTCTGCATCCTTGTGTAAGGCGAGTACAGGCATATCCTTCGATCCCAGCCAATCATGTAATAACTGTGCCGATTTGCGTGTGTTGCAAAAGACGAGCGTCTTATCATCCTTGATATTCCTTTTCAGCACATCCAGCAGTGCCAGCTGCCGATTCCCATTAAAGCGTGCCAAGTCAACAAATGATTGCTTCAAATTGGGCAATGCACGATGCAACGAGGGTGTTGTTAACTTTAAGAGTCGCTCTCCAAATAAAGTATCCAAGGTTCGATGTACTGAACGAGGTAATGTTGCCGAGACAATAATGCATTGTGCTGTACCCACACGATCAAGAATAAAGCGTACGTCGTCACCCCAACCAGCATCAAAGAGAGAATCCGCTTCATCCACCACCAAATGACGTGTATCAGCCAAAGATAAAGTACCATCACGTACGAGACTGCACAAGGTTGTTGGCGTTGCTACCAATACATCCACAGGCTGTTCAAGTTGTTCTGCCAATCGACGTCTCTTGACTTTGCTATCAACACCCAATGCCCTGAACTTGGTGATATGCGCCAATGACTTTGCCGTTTGTACTACTTGCTTCACAAGTTCACGTGTTGGTACAAGTACAATCGCTCGAGGATGATCCAATCGACGACGTTGCTTCTTTTCATCTTGCTTCAATCGATCAATCACTGGCAACAAATAAGCCAACGTCTTGCCAGATCCAGTCTCTGCTGCCACAAGCACATTTCGATGCTGCTCGGGTTTCAACAAGGGGGGAATAGCCAATGCTTGAATCTCACTCGGCCTGGCATCTTGTACATGCTTCAAATGGCCTTGACGCACTGCATCTATCACACCAGCTTGTAGTCCAAGATCATCAAACGTTTGTGTCGCCAACCTTGCTGATAGCTGGGATACGGTTTCTTGTTGCTGATTGGGTGCTGTTCCAGGAATGGCTTCCAATCGTCGAGCTACTGGAATATACGGTGCCTTTGAAGACTTTGGCCGGCTTTCCTTGAGTTTGGCTCGTAACACATTACGTCGTTCTCGTCCATTCAACCCATCAGGCCGTAGGTGTTTACTCAAACTCGAATAGTTGGGCTTTCGTAGCTGTGAGCGTTTCGAAGCGACGCATGCTGTTGTTGAGAATAAGCGATGTTGCTGTAGCTGCGATTCAAGACTGATCTGAAAAGCTGTGCTCGAGAAGAATTTTTTCAACATGTGTTATGTGTCAAGCGCTGTTGCTATTTGCACCATGTCAATGCACCCCTATCCATTTTAGTCTCAGACCTACCACAAAGAGTCATACGGATATGTATTAGTTCTAGAAGATGCATTAAAGCTTGCTCTTCCTATTGTATAATAAAAACAAGATGATCCATTCATGTCAAGTATGCATTCGAAAAAAAAGAAAGGGATACCACTTGCATATCATGTCAAACACGCCATCATGCCGAATTTAGCTGTCGATGGCAGAACGTATCCCATCAAATGATCCAACTTTGCATATGCATCAAGGGAGGTAGTAGCTCAATGTACTATGTGGATGACTATGCGATTGATCATACATCTACCAGCCTTTACCTTATTATAGAAACCAAAGATGGCAATGATGACCAGACTTGGCAACAACAAAGTTTATAAATGACTACAAGGATCGATCCACGTCCACAGGATTACAAGGAGGGCTTTGCATCATGGTGCTCACAGACTATAATGAACCTCATTTTATGGTAGAACTTGAAAATATGTAGTAAGGCAATCATCATTATCATGTAAGGTGTAAAATGACACACATCCCTTTTGTTATACATGGGGATCATTCCTTTATTTACATGCACCTATTGTCTATTGTGAGGGTGATTATGATGACTATGGTGGGTATGTTATGTGTTTGGGCGGTGTGTGAAGGTAAATGAAATGGCCTCTTGTTCGTTGCTATTCTCACTCTACGCTTGGTGTCAACAGGTACATTGAGAGCCCACTGTTGCATCCGAACTGGTGGCTATGGCTATGATGAGGTTGCTCGGATTGCTCAGGTTGCTCGAGATGATCGTGATGATTGTGATGAGGTTGAGGAAGCGGATGAGGCTCTTGTGTGAATTCGACTAGATTGATCCTCTTATTTCTGCTGTTGTGATGACCACAGATGGTATGCACTTTGTGCACTTGAAAGAGTAGTATATCCCGCGAATCGACCCATTGCTTGCCATTGCCCAAAGTTGGCCGCCCATGGAACTTGCCCTTTGTTGTCAATGTGCTTCTTCGCAAACTCGAAGTCAGATATGTGCTCATCGATGTTGTATCGATCCATCATTTTCAGCGTTGTCACCTCTCCTCCATGTTCAGGATAACCATTGAGAAGCCATTGGTGCAAAAGGTACGCTGCATCTTGAGGATTACATGGCAATGCAAATTTGGAGAGGTTGCCACCACACATCAAAGCTGATCTCCCTTGAGGTTGCTGAACAACCATTGGTTGTATTGGTACTGAATTTTCCTTGTGTGCTCGCTCACTTCTCCAGAGGCGATCCAAGTCAACAGCATATCGATGAAGACCAAAACCTGTTTGTTGGCGTATCAAAGCTGGTGCCTCGAACCTGGAGAATCCTTTTCTTGTAATGAAATCTCACTCATGGCAGCTGATCCAGCCTCCTTGCTCACTTGTAATGCATGGCCAGTCGACAAGAAACGAAGTGTAAACACCTCCTCGTCACCTCGCAACTCCAATGGGATTCGCTCAAAACAAGGCATCTCGATAACGATTCACGTGCCTCCTCGCTTTGTGTATTGTCATCACATCCATCGTAACACAACAAGTGAGCCATTTCTTGTAATCTTGACTTGAGACCCTTCAAGAAGTGAATGAAAAGGGAGTCGATCGCGCATCCAACGTGATTCAGATAACTGCCGCATATGATTGATCAAAGCATTGCCTTCCAAACCACCCAACATGTAACGACTACGTCGTGAAAGAGCTGCACGCACTTGATCCTCGTCTTCCATCCAATGGTCATCTTCACATCTTTCGGGCCCAAAGTCTTTGATAAGCTTCTTGAATGGATGATCAGCACCAGTGGCTGCGCCAATGTGATTCTTGCAGGCTAGTGCACTCAAATAATAAAGGCAGCCTTCAGGAACACCATTGGCCCATTTGAACCAAGCGGCACTATCACTTGACTGATATTGCTTCTCGTCGCTCCTTGCTCCTAGAGCAACCCGTATCTCTACCCATAGCTTCCATTCGTTGAGTAGCACCAGGAGATCTTGCTTCTTGTTCTGCCAGCTGGCATAATTTTGTAAGTTGTCAACACCAAAGCGATCCATGGATGTCCTTACTTCGACAACGGAAGCCGTTATATCAATCCTGTGCGGTTGTAGTAGACCGTGTCGCCGAATCCAACCTTGCAGATGCATTGCAGAACGTAGCTTTATTAAAAAGGATATGAGTGCATGGTTCATCATGCAAGATCATTAGGCTTTTACCTTATTACAAGAGGCCAGATATCACAATGACAACAATGACAATGAAAGACTAAGAATGACCACAAAGATCAGCTTTAATCCATAAGGTTACAAGAAGGATCATACATCGTGGTACCCACACGAACTTGGCTTGATGGTGTAAGCAATCAAAGTGATTGATAGAGGAAAGAGATACGTGAGAGTGTGATGGAGCACGACAACATTCTTTTATTGCGCATGTTGGTGGGCGTGTGAAAAGAGGGAAGAATGATAAACATTTGTTGGGGATGATGCATCAATTGATAAATTGGGCCGGGTACATTCATCAACGGTGGTCGATAACAAAGAGCCCAGCCGTGGTAGTTGTCCATGCATGTACTCGACCATGATGAGGGTTGATACCCATGCCAAGAAGGAATTTGTTGTCAAGACTCTTTACATCGCAACGGCTCATTGTGTTTCCACGTCTCCAAGGATCATTGGCTGGTTGAAGAGTGTGAATCGAAATGTCGAATGATAGGACATGGTAATGTGGATGCTTATCAAGTGAATATGGTAAGGGAACAGCATCACCAATTGAATCAGGTACGAGTGAAACACGTATAGAGTCCAGGGGTGTCATTGTCTCATTGTATTCTTGGTTGCTGCCGTCCTAAACGGCTTCATCCATGATTGCGAAATAGCTGCTTCATGCATTGATTCATCCATGGCTGTAAAACACCTTTCGTCAATGCCATCCCATCCATCATCCTCATCCTCAGTCGTATCCACGTGGCATGATCCCATCCTTCCTGCTGACAACTTGCCAAGTAACCAAAGCAACACTCCAGGACCTCTCATTACTGTACTTGATTGCATCCATCCATTGCAAGCTTGATAAGAAAAGAGCCACTCTCATCGCTGTCGGTATACTTCCTTTTCCATCCCTCTGTTCATAACTCACTGGCTTGGTCATTTTCTACCACAGCTCAACCAGGCCAGGGATGATGCATTGCTTGATGGCTGATATGGCATCATCCACACCAAATGAACCAAGAGATCCAACTCGGTCAATGTAGCCAATTCCTTCCATCCCATGTACCAAAAGCATATCCTGATCCATATCCATAAGTAGTCGTATGTATTGAAAACAAGTTGCTACACGTAAATAAAGCTGCTTCTATATGATGGCTATCGGCTGTTCACGTGAAAAGGGCTGCAAGACACGTTGCTGCAAGTAACTTGAGGCAATGGAGTAAGCCCTTGCTAAGAGCAGCTGCTGTAATGAATGCTGTTACGTTCGATTGCGGTAGAGGAGTGTACAAGAGAGCGCGTTGTGTCAAGAGACTCGTGTGTTGAAGAAGAGTGACAAGAAAGCTGTGTACACGCCATGGACTTGCCATTCAGTCAAAGACAATCGGATCACGATAGTTGTAGGATTGACATGATGGGTTGAAGCAGAGCAATCGTTCGCAGGTGGTAGTTGTATGCTTCAATGGGGCAACAGATGAGAATAGGAGGAAGAGGGAAGAAGTTGAGTAAAAGAGGTGGAAATCATATAGATCGGACATCTCCTGTGTAAATGCATGTACACTGTACATCAAAACTTGATACTGAGATTTCCCATCTCAAACCACAAACTTTCACACAAGATGCTCTTGGACATGCTGATCACGCTGATCTAAAAAAGACCTGATGTTTCATTTGAAAATTTGGAATGGAAGGGTATAATGTGGGTTTACTATGTAAGTCGGAAATGGATGTCAGCGCCAGATTCATGATTTATGGAAATAGTGTGCATTACCTTGGGATTCCCCATTTCGAACCTGAAACTTTGTCGGAAGGTTCGCTGCAACATGCTGATCAACTTCATTCATTTAAAAACCATACACTTCATTAAGAATGTCTTGAATGCGGGAGGGTCCAAACGGTGGATGATGGGGACAAAAGAGCGGACGGCCCACCGCCCCGAAGTTGCCTACCTTCAACTTGAAAATTGGTCAGAAGGGTGCTCCGAGCATGCTGATCAACATTTTTCTAATAAAAACTTCATGCTTCATTTGAAAATTTGGAATGGGAGCGTCCAAAAGTTTGAAAGACGAAGACATTCGCAGGGTCTGTCTTTCAAGAATTGACATGTTTGCTGTTCCAACGTAGCTCAGTCAAATCGGCCCGGATCAAGAAACTTGAATGATGGAAATGCTCGGCTGGAGCAGGAGAATCGTTCACATGCAGTGGATTTTGCAACAACGCCGATTGTGAGGAAATGGCTGATAGCGCGCAATATATGGACTATTGTGGATAGACCATAAAGTATAATCCATCAATCCTTCCAGTCATGCAAAGTAGCTGAGTTACCCAAAGAGATCCTTCTGCATCTTTGGCTCTCCAGGGTCTAGCTACTTGGCAATGAACAAAGACCACTTCTCATATAGCATCACGCTTACAAACGTAAAGGTGCCTGTATCTCCAAACTTTACAATGAAACGTGTGGTTTTTATTAGATCAATGTGCTCGTCTTGGCCAACAGCACCTTGTGTGCAAGTTTCAAGTTGATCGTGGCCAATCCCAGATTTCGCAATGTCGCCACCAGCCAAAGTGAAACGAGTCGACCTCTTGAATTTCTTTTCGACGACCAAAAAATATTTTTTGGGCTAGTTGCGACATTGAACGTGAAACTTTCACACAAGGTGCTGTTG